TGATATATATAAATATATAAAATATATGAAAAATTGATGTAGGTATTTAAATGAAAGGTGTTGATAAATGTAATGTCGGGATGAGCTTATATCTTCAAAAATGTCAATAGTTGACAAGATACAAGATCATTTCTTAATTATTGACATTTTTTAAAATATAAGCTCATCCCGATGTTACACTCATCGAGACCTTTCATTTAAGTACCCACATGACAATTTTTATATATTTTATATATATGGTATTTCTGATATATATAAATATATAAAATATATGATAAATTGATGTGGGTATTCAAATGAAAGGTCTCGATGAGTGTAACATCAGGATGAGCTTATATCTTGAAAAATGTCGATAGTTTACAAGATACAAGGTCATTTCTTAATTATTTGTATTTAATTAATATGTTATTTTAATGTTTTTTTAATTAATATGTAATATGTTATTTTTTTAGCAACCACTCCAACAATACCCACAACACCCAGTACCAGCGTGCCTGTACCAGCAGCTCCAACAGTGGTACCAGAGCCAACTCCAGCCACCGTTCAAACTATCAGACCTCCACAAACAATCACACAAATTCGTATTCAAACCACACCACAGCCTGCTAATGCGACGGCTAACACCAGAAAAGGATTGTCACTTACCGTTAGTTACTTTAATATTTATTTTATAATTTTATTAATTAATTAAATTAATTAATGACAATTTTAATTGCAGCGAGAACAAATGTTGGAAGCACAAGAAATGTTTAGAACAGCGAACAAAGTTACCAGGCCCGAGAAAGCTCTTATTCTCGGATTTATGGCCGGAGCAAGAACTAACCCTTGTCCTAAACTGGGTAACATTGTTACTGTGATGCTGTCGGAGAATGTCGAGGAAGTTGTTCAGCCGGATGGTACAAAATTGTCGATGCTCGTCGAAACTCACTTCCAGATGAATTATACGAACGGTGAGTGGAAGAGAATTAAAAAGAACCGTCGGGTGGTCACTGAAGACTCTGTGATTTCTAACGCAGCTACGGCTACTGCGGCAGCTTCTAATTAAATTTTTTTTTTTTTTTTATAATTGTACATGTATTCTAAGCGCAGTTGAAGAGGTGTATATTTTTCACGGAAATTAGTTCTGTTTTTATACTCAAATTATTATGGCCCAAGTGCCTGTCAATCGTGTTTATTTTTTGATTATTAATTAATTAATTAATTAATTATTAATCAACTGCGTTGATAATTATACGGTAGATAGGTAATTAATATAATAGATTAACTTTAAAAATTTATAAATTAGGTGGTGATAAAAAAAAATTACAATTTATTTTTATCATCATGTAATTAAATTAATAATTTATATATATATATATATAAGAATTAATTCAAAAGTTAGTTAAAAAATTGAAGATAGTTATTGTATTGATAACGATGAATTAATTATAAAACATCAGTTTATTTATATATTAATATTACATAACAGAATATAAAATTTTGTTATGAACAATTATGTTAATTAACTACCTGATAAATTAGAGTGCAAATAATTACTGTAATGTACGATGGCAAAATTATTACTGCTTTATTTGTCCAGAAAATTCCTGAGACACCTCGTTCTTCTTTAGAGTCCCGAATTCCACACTGTCGAAAGCCGAGAGTATTTTTTCGCTTAGGACTTCCACGTTCTAATGACGGTAAGCTCGGCGCAATTAATCTACCCGTTGAAATTAAATGACTGAAGTCCATTTCGAGTTTATTGGCTATGGGGCCGCGGAAGTGGAGTAAAAATTGGATGCAAGCTCCGTCGTGGAGCTTTTTGGTCTTTCTTTTGTCGATTGATAACATCCATTCGGGGATTCCCATTACTTGTCTTACCTCGTCCAAAAATTGTGATCTGCAATTAAATAATATTTTGCTTTGTTAAATTGCACTGTACTTTTTTTTAAATATTGACGTTTTTAAAGATATAAGCTCATCTTGATGTTACACTCATCGAGAGCTTTCATTTGAGTACCCACATGCATTTTTGATATATTTTTCATTTATACATATATATATATATATATATATATATAGTATATATTTTAAAGATATAAGCTCGTCCTGATGTTATACTCATCAAGAGCTTTCATTTGAGTACCCACATGCATTTTTTATATATTTTTCATATATACATATATACAATATATATATATAAATATATAAAATATATGAAAAATTGATGTGGGTACTCAAATGAAAGGTCTCGATGAGTGTAACATCAGGATGAGCTTATATCTTTAAAAATGTCATTAGTTCACAAGATACAAGGTCATTTAATTATGTATCTAGAGATAGAGATATTCTCTTAATAATATAGTCCAATTTTTTTTCTCAGTATATTAAAATAAAAGTATTAAAAACTTACACGACAAATTGCGGAGGTTTTCTAATATTCGCGTATTTAACAATATCATTATCAGGCTGAATATTAGCGCAAGCGAATCTATGGTGCCCAAATTCTGGATCCTTGATAACAATCGATTTTCCTATAGCTGAAACAGTTCCTTCTAGAGGAAAATTCTGGTCTATAAATATTTTACGCTCAAGACCAATGTCAATTGGCCCTAGACGAGCTGAGAGATCACCAACGTGACAACGAAGTGGTTGGTCAGGTCCACATTCTTGTTTATAAAGTTCTTCCTGTAAAAAAAATTTTTATTAAATTAAAAGACTATATTATAATTTATAATAAAATAATATATAAATAAATAAAAGTGCTTACATTAAGTGGATCAGCTAATTGAGTGAAATAAGGATTCCAAACGTATCCTGCAGCGACGCATCTAGTGTCCTTGACTTGAACGACGTTATCGGAGCTAACTGGATTGACGTAAATTGCCCAATTGTGATTTCGAGTCTAGAAATTTTTATTTTTAATTTATATTTCGTGTTTAATTTACTTTAAATAATTTAAGTATCTAATGGATAAAAATTCCTCACTATATTTCTATCACGTTCTCCTGGATGTCGAAGATTGACTTCAATAATTGTTTCGCTCTGGCTTTTATCTTTGTAGATCAACTGCGTCTAAAAATTTTAATTAATTTATAATATTAAAATTAGTAGACACTTGACAATTTTTTTTAATTAATTTTCATTATTTAAAGTCTAAGAATTTATTATAATTTATTTTAATAATTAATAATAATAATAATAACAAACCATTCTGATATAACCATAAGCAAAACCTTGAGGATTATGAAACGAAGCTATCGCCCGAAGTTCTCTGGCTTCTAAGGGCGCGTATCCTCTCTCGATAGACGAGCAAGCCCACCTGAGATCTCTTTTCTTTTTATGAATCACCAAGCTCCTTCCAATGATCCCTTCATACCCAAATAACGGAAGCAAGGTATCATTGAAAGTTGTCGAGTATCTTTTTCTATTGTCAAGTGTTCCGAACTTGCCGCTCAAGTCGCCTAGCTTGTACTGATCCACCGTTCCTTCTCCAGGTAAGCTGGACTTGTTGAGATTTAGCGGATTGAAAACGCCGTACAGAGAAGTTGCTTCGCAAGGAAACTCCAGGTCCATTTCAATAGGAGTCATGTGGATTTGGTAACTACTAACTTGTCCGTCTAATCCTTCTAGCATCACTTCTACGTCAGTTACGTCGTACTCGGATTGTTGAATAAATTCCAATTTGCCTTTTACATTTGTTACTACGCCATTATCAAACCAATCTTTGACTACTGCTTTTCTTCTATACACCCGACTTATCCTAAAAATAATTTTTTTTTATATAAATTTGTTATTATTATTATAATAACAAATTTATTTTACATTTATTATTATTATTTATTTAAAATAATAATAATAATAATAATTTAATAAACTTAAAATTAAATTCTTACATGGTACAAGCAAGTCTCTCCCCACGAGCAACTGGTCCATGGTCATCGTAGATCACCAAACTTTTTCCTAAAATGCTATGTGACCCCGATAGAGGCAACGACGAATCTGTAAAGAGTTTCCGAGTTATTCGAGGTCCATCTAGCTTCCTCCCGGCAATATTAAGCATTCCGTGTCTTGTCAAATCTCCCAATCGGCACAGAGTAATTTCATTCATTGAACACCGCTCGGGATGCTTTGGATCCAACTCTATTTTGTGAGGATTGTAAGGACTTCCTGCACTGAGACATCTTGCGGTCCAGTTGTAATAATCACTGCCTGGAGGGTGATCATGTATCATCCATCTTTAAAAAATATTTTATTATTATTTAGGATTTAGGATTTAGGACCATTTTTGGCCACTTGATGTTTTTAGTTAATTTGTAAAAAATTTAACTATTTAAATAAAATTTTTAAATTAGTACATTTATAATATAGAATTGAATTCATAAAGTCTTGTACTTATAGAAATACTTATACTAATTGTTTTAGATTAAATAAATAATTAAATAAAATTATCAAGAATAAATAATAATAATTTACCTATGATCATCAGAATTATTAAGCGCACGTCCATCAGAATGAATTAAATTTTCAATAATAATAGTTGTGTCCATCTCCGGTTCATTTAAAGGCTGTCGAAATATTATTTTACCAACAATTGGATATCTAAAGACAGCTTGAGCAGTAAGCATTGGCATCTGTCCAGCTGTTTGAGAAATATGCTGTAATACAGTACCACAAACCCAAGGAATGATACCTTTATTATCAGTCTCATTATATCTGAAATTATTTAACAAAATATTTATTCAAATTAACTATCTTCATTTAATTATTTAACATAATAACTATCTTAATTTAATTATTTAACATACTTGTACAAAACTAGAGATCTATGCAAAATACTATAAACTCCAGTCAGAGGTAAAAAAGTATCCCAGTAAGCTCCGCTGAGTTTAGCGCTACCAGGAAGAATATCATTGTGATGAGAACCTTCCTTCCTGCCTTGCAGCTTTCCAGACAAGTCTCCAATAGCGTACTGGTCCTGAGTGCCCAGACCAGCTGGGGGAATGGTTTTGTCGTCGACGTTCGACGGATTGTACATTGCCTTGGTACTCAGACACTCTTGTTCCGAGTTTCTGGTCCTCACCAGAGGCTCACGAGGCAGCTCGTGAATTTTGTAAGCTGCTGTTTTTGTTTCATACCTCAGTCTTGTTTCTAAGTCGTTTATTGGAGACAAAGAAACGTTCACCCAGGTTGGATGGAACCTTGTTTCTTGGGTGAATGTCACTTCACCTTTGACTCCGTGAGAATTTATCAGACTCCTGAAAAATTAGAGATGAATTATTAAAAATTTTGCTGTATTAAACAATGAATTTTGGTAAATTGCACTGTACTTTCTTAAATATTGACATTTTTAAAGATATAAGCTCATCCTGATGTTACACTTATCAAGAGCTTTCATTTGAGTACCCATATGCATTTTTTATATATTTTTCATATATACATATAAATATATGAAAAATTGATGTGGGTACTCAAATAAAAGGTCTCGATAAGTGTAATGTCAGGGTGAGCTTATTTCTTTAAAAATGTCAATAGTTCACATAATACCAGGTAATCTCTTAATTATTGACATTTTTAAAGATATAAGCTCATCCCGATGTTACACTCATCAAGACCTTTCATTCAAGTACCCACATGACAATTTTTATATATTTTATATATATGGTATATCTGATATATATAAATATATAAAATATATGATAAATTGATGTGGGTACTCAAATGAAAGGTCTCAATGAATGAAACATCGGGGTGAGCTTATATCTTTAAAAATGTCAATAGTTGACCAGATACAAGGTCATTCCTTAATTATAAAACCGATTTTATCATATAACTATCCTGGACACAAATAATATAGATTAATAAAAAATTACTTTGCTAGGGTGAATTTTTGATTCTTAATTTTAGCACAAGCAAGAAACGAATCGCTGTGAGTTGGATGAAAAATGACCAAATAAAGCGAGCGATGAGACCCAAGAATATCAGCTGGCAGCAAAGAAATCACTGGATCTTTGTAAGCAGCCTTGGACTTTTTGTTTGTGTCTGTTGCGACTTTTATTTTTCCCAGGCGAGCGTCAATATCTCCAATAGCTTTTCCCTCACCAAGATCATCAGGATCAAAAACAGTCTGCAGGATGTTGCAGTCGTTTTTTTCTTTTTCTGAGTCGAAGATATCAGTGACGTAAATTTTCCAATGATGCTCGGTAAAGCCGCTCTGAGCTTTGTTTTCCGACGTGTGATGGAGATCGGTGTATATAATTGTGTCTGTAATAGAGTCTCCTCCCAGCCACCTGAACCAGACTGAGCCTGCGACGGGGCCTTGGAACCGGGCCTCTGCATTTTTTTCCGCATTTGTTTCCAGGACATTTATTGAGGTGCAAATAGTACGAGGAGAGTAAGTGTCTCTCAATATTAATCCTTTGCTCCAAAGACCTTTTTCTCCAGTTAGGCTGATGTTTGGAACTTCTACGATGATTGACTCGTTTCCTGGGATTGTCAACGGACCCACCAGTTCTGTCAGGTCAATTAATCTAAAAAAGAAATATTTTATTGTTAGTGATATTATCATTTATCAATATATAAACATTTCTTATGTATAAGACACTGTATCTCCTAAAATATTCAAGATAACTTTATAGTATAAAAACATTTTTTGTAGGAAATTTAATAAGCTACAATTATGGTTTTATAATTTTTTGATAAAATCAATATTTTAGGAGTTATAGTCATTTTTATAGTAACTAAATGATGATTTTTCATTTTTTAATATCTGAACACTATTTAAATTACATATTAAATTATATCTCTTAAAATATTGAAGATAACTCCATAGTATAAAAACATTTTTTATAGAAAATTTAATAAGCTACAATTGTGGTCTTACAATTTTTTGATTTTTTGATAAAATCAATATTTTACGAGTTATAGTCATTTTTATAATGACTAAATGATGATTTTTCATTTTTCACCTTGTTGATATCATGTAAGTTACATATTAATTTATATCTCCTAAAATATTGAAGATAACTCCATAGTATAAAAACATTATTCAAAGGAAATTTTGTAAGCTACAATTTTCAATTCTTATAATTAAAAAAAAAAAATGATATTTTAAGAGTTACAGCCATTTTTGTAGTAACTAGATGATGATTTTACATTTTTCAACTCCTGAGCACTATTTAAGTTAGATATTAAATTATATCTTCTAAAATATTGAAGATATTCCTATAAAACAAAAATATTTTTTATAACAAATTTTATTTTTTTAACAAATTTGGTTTTATAATTGATAAAATCAATATTTCAGAAGTTACAACCATTTTTAAAGTAACAAAGTGATTTGATATTTCATTTAATATTTTATTATTATTACAATTATTTAAAATAAAATATATTAAATAAAACCTTGATAAAATTTATTCAACCTTCCTTTCTAACTACTAGACCTTTAAAATTCCATCCCAAATAAAAATGATAATCCGTAACTCGAAACTTAAAAATAGAAATAAAAAGCAAAGCCGCAAGAAAATGAAACTTGTTACGTTAAAAACTGTCTATAAGATATTTTTATCCCGTGACATTAAGACACCCCCAGTATTTAAATATATATGGTTAACAATAATACTAAGTATTTTTATTTATAATATTTCTTACGACTCGCCCAGATGTTGTTCCGAGCAGCGGTCCTCGATTTTGGAGTAATCCACCGGGAATCTAGTCACCGACCAAAGCCATTGCTGATCTGGATACTGAAGAGTAGCGTGCAAAGCCGTACGAATTTTAACAGTATCCTCAGATACTTTCTCAAAGCGTATTTCACCATGGAGACCACCTGCTGATATATAAGCTGCTAATCGTAGTGCATTTCCACTGGTCACCGCTTTAAAAATAAAAACCAACTTTAAATATACCCTCAAAATATAATTTAAACAAGCTCTAATTAGATATTATTTACCAAGAACAAAAATAAAAATCCACCACATTTCATATATTTTTTTTTAACTCAGCCATCATGCTGTTAAATTTATAAAATATATTTAATTTGTCTGGGGGCCTTCTTGGTGTTTATTCTCCACTGACAACTTTCTCCAGCTCCATAAGAATTATTTATCCTGAGCTCTGTAGTGGGAGAGGAGCCTCAAGCTTAAGGTTACTACTTCTACTCCGTTATATTTTTTTTCAGCTTTCAATTATTAAATAGAATATATTATTATTATTATTGTTGTTGTTATTATTATTATATGATAAATAATAATAATAATAATCAGCCATACTAGGCGAACTTCGGTCCGTTGATAAACACATGACAGTCATGATTTAACTAAATAAATAAATAGTTTTAATTAACCTCGGCTTTAATTAAAAATTGTCGTTCCAGTTAGGCAAATATTGAAGTCATGTTTTTCTTCTTGAGACATGTTGAAGCGTTCGTACATTCCTTAAGATCATTTGTTTTGATGGAAGGCATGTCTAAATTTACCCAGACGACCTACAACATTGTGAACGGTTTCAATGGTTGGGTGGGACAAGCAGCGTAAAAATCTTGATATATTTTGTTTTTTATATTAAAGATAAATTCTTTTTAATAAATTTATACTCACTTGATTAATTGCCGGTGATTTATACAGAAATAATAAGAAACGAACTGTTATTGTAAAGCGGCTGGAAAATCGCCGTCATAAGTCTTATAAAATGACTAAAAGCTCCGGTAAATGCGGCTGCACTAAATGCGCGTAAGTATTTAACATGATTTTCAGTGATTTTTAATCATTTCTTCAATTAATAAATTAATTAGTAAATAATATTAATAATTTTTGTCACAAATAAATTTAGAAGAAAAAATTAACATGTAAAAATTATAAAAAAATAAAAAATGCAATTTTTTTTAAATAATTTTTTGAACAAATTTGTTTGCTAAAAAAAAATTTAAAAATATTTAAGTATGGCAGCTAAATTTAATGTCATTAATTAATAAAAATTAATTAAACAGATATTTAATTATTTTTGTAATAAAAAAATTATAGCAAAAAAATTAAAAGAAAAAAAATTGACATAAAAATTTTAAAAAATAAAAAATGTAATTTTTTAAAAAAGATTTGTTTGCTAAAAAAAATTAAAAAATATTCAAGTGATAATTAAATTTAATGTCATTAATTAATAAAAATTAATTAAATAGATATTTAATAATTTTTCTAACAAATAAATTAGAAGAAAAAATTGACATTTAAAAATTTTTTTTAAATAAAAAATGCAATTTTTTAAACAAATTTTTTTGTTAAAAAAAATTTTTTTAAATGATAAAGTAACTGTTAAATTAAATATCATAAATATTTATTACAAAGCAGACGCAGAAAGCGCAAGAAGGAGGTTAAGTCAGTTATTACCGAAGAAATGGCGTACCAGCATCAGAATAAAATGGCGCCCACTGTGGAAGAAAATAAAACAAATTTAGAAACTGGACAGGTTAATAACCTTAATGAAGAAGAGTACAGCCACCTTGGGGATTACAGAAAATTGTACTTGGCAGTATTTGTATTTTATATTTTAGTTACCTGTATAACATTTCTGTCGATGAAATTTATTTTCAACTTGGGTTGTCTTTTTAATTAAATGCCGCCACCCGGGTCTGTTGGTCCAACCGAGAATAAAATGTTGAGTTGTATTACGTGTGTGGCTTATAAAATAGAGGGGTTTTGTTGTTCTGTTAATATTTGAGGTACCGAAATAAGTGGTTTAATGATTAAAAGGCAACAAACGGACTTAACCGAGCGAGCCTGGTGGACTGACATGACTCATCGGGTGTACATGCCTCCGCTGATGCTGCAGAAGCCGTCTTCCAAGCCAACTAGGTCCGAGTGTTCATCAGCAACTTCCGGCTTCAGATCTGCCCGACCAGAAACACCCGATCCGCCTTCAAGTTCATCTTCCTTAATTTCTGACGCTTCAGAGTACAAGTAATCTGAAAGAAGAAATAATATTACTAAATTGCTAGTTTTAAATTTAAATGTAATTTACAGCTGACTGATTACAGGTCATGCTTCAGCTCAACATTCTCGGAAAAAATCCCCGAAAATTTAAAAACAAAGTAAGTTGTTTTCTTCTAGTGAGATTTAGATCATCTATATTATTAAGATAATAAGGAAAATTTTGTGTCTTAAGAAATGACCCTGTATCTCGTGAACTATTGACATTTTTGAAGATATAAGCTCACCCTGACATTACACTCATCGAGACCTTTCATTTGAGTACCCACATCAATTTTTCATATATTTATATATATTATATATATGAAAAATATATCAAAAATGCATGTGGGTACTCAAATGAAACCTCTTGATAAGTGTAACATCGGAATGAGCTTATATCTTTAAAAATGTCAATAGTTAAGAAATGATCTTTTATCTTGTGAACTATTGACATTTTTAAAGATATAAGCTCACCCCAACATTATACTCATCGAGACCTTTTATTTGAGTACCCATATCACAATTTTTATATATTTTATATATTTATATATATTATATATATATGTATATATGAAAAATATATCAAAAATGCATGTGGGTACTCAAATGAAAGCTCTTGATGAGTGTAACATCGGGATGAGCTTATATTTTTAAAATATATATGTATATATGAAAAATATATCAAAAATGCATGTGGGTACTCAAATGGTATCAAGCGTTTTGATCCCCCGACAAAATATCCCCGGACAAAATATGGTTTTTCTGAAATAATAATTATAAATTATTATAAATTTATAATTTATAATTTAATAATTATAATAAATTTCAATAATTTATAATTATTATTTCAGAAAAACCATATTTTGTCCGGGGATATTTTGTCGGGGGATCAAAAATCATGGAACCACTCAAATGGAAGCTCTTCATGAGTGTAACATCAAAATAAGCTTATATCTTTATAAATGTCAATAGTTAAGAAAGTACAGTGCAATTTATCAAAAGTCATTTAATAAAACAAAATTTTCTTATATTTATAGTTAAAAAATTACGGCAGTCACGTAGTGACTGCAATGTTGCTAGTTTAAATTATTTAGTAAATGAAATCGAAATAAATAATCACATTTGTCATCACTTAGACCCGAGTTACCGGTGGTAAGAAGTAAGTCTCAGCCGTTGGGCCACCAGCCAAGCCCAAAAGAATTGAGAGAACTGCAAATGATAGCCAGCAAACGGAAGAAGACTCAGATTAAGAAGCGACCTGTTTGTAGAACCACCAGCCATGCTACAGACAGCTTCAGTAACTGCGTTAAGTGTTCAAGGATTGTGTCTAGGCCTTTTAAAAAAATGCAACCCCAATTTCCGGGAAATTACTGACTCCTTAAATAAAATTTAAGAGAATAAACCTGTAAGAAGATATGAAAAATATGAATAAATAAAATTTTTAGTGATAGATATGTAACCTCATTTGTTCTTTAATTTTCTCCACCGACTTCCTAGTGTACTTTATTTAAATCTTCTGAAAATATGCAAGACTCTATATCCGTCTTGACAGTACAGTAGCACACGTGCTTTTAGCAGTATTATGAAATAGAGTAGTGTTACAAGAAGAAGAAGAAGAAGAAGAAGAAGAAGAAGAAGAAGAAGAAGTAAAGTGGAGGAGTTGTCTGATTATGGTTGACATTATCCCGCTTCAGAGGCTTTAGAGGGACTGGTATGGATATCCGATATAGAAGACGGAGAATAGCCGCAAGAATAAATAGGAAGAAGACAACTTGATGGTTGGAGCAACTCAGTTTGGGTCTCTACGTGCACCCTTGACTTATATATCCAGCGTTGTTTAAAATAAAATAAAATAAATAAGAATAACTTTGGATAATCGGGAGAGTCCGGTTCTTTTCGTTGTTATACTCACAACCTCCCCGGCATACCGTTTTAGTTTTAAGACGGTAACGTCGTGTAAGTACGCTATTTTGAGTCACCTCGCACTAAATATGGTCAGATGGGTGAGTGCGGGTTGTAGAAAACCAGGCGGAGCATCCCCTGGTTGTCTTGATATACATAGTGGGGGCACAACAGCCCAAAGTTACTTAGACAAGTTCAGCTCTATCAGTTGGACAGTTGGTTCTGTGTAACCATCTCGCACCATCCAAGTTTTTGAATACCAACTGTAAACATGGTAAGTATCTAAAGTTAACAATAAAAAGACAAAATATTTTAAGTAATTAAATTAGAGAAAGTGAAGACTTGAAGTGAAGAATTTATTATTTTATTTTATATTTATTTATCGAGTGTTTAAATAAGAGTGATTACTTTATTAGACGGTGAAGGTGCTGTGCCAATTATCTTCACTTAAATTTTCGTATTTTATTCTCTAGATTATAAAGTGTGAATAAATTTATTATTTCTTCTTTAAATTCTAGATTATTAGTATTCTGCTTGGTAGTTGATTAAATCCAATCTGTAGAGACATATTAATATATAGCAACCTTGCAGTCACTATGTGACTGCCGTGACTTGTGAACTATAAATAAAATTTTGCTAAATTGCACCGTAATTTTTTAACTATTGACCTTTTTAAAGATATAATAGATATAATAAGCTCATCCTGATGTTACACTCATCAAGGGCTTTCATTTGAGTACCCACATGAATTTTTGATATATTTTTCATATATACATATATATAATATATATAAATATATAAAATATATAAAAAATTGATGTAGGTACTCAAATGAAAGGTCTTGATGAGTGTAACATCAGAATGAGCTTATATCTTTAAAAATGTCAATAATTATGAAATTATATTGTATTTTTATAACTTATGAAATTTTTAAAGATATAAGCTGATCATGATGTTACACTCATTGAGACCTTTCATTTGAGTACCCACATCAATTTTTCATATATTTTATGTATTTATATATATTATATATATGTATATATAAGAAATATATGAAAAATTGATGTGGGTACTCAAATGAAAGGTCTCGATGAGTATAACATCATGATGAGCTTATATCTTTAAAAATGTCAATAGTTAACGAGATACAGGGTAATTTCTTAACCTGGCTACAAAATTTAGCTTATTCTCTTAATAATATAGATAACTAGAGTTGGTGCATAATTATTGTAAAAATAAATACATTGACTTACGTAATATCGAGTAACTCGAGAGGCGGTCTATATACGTCCCGGTAGATTATTACACCAAACGGGATAGAGAAGTGTGGTAGAGCCAGAGGCCTATTATTAGGCCCAAGCTCCGCGAAGACGCCTTCCTAATTTTCCTGAAGCGTCTCAGTATCAAAGTTTATTAGTTGGGAGCTTCTGTCCGTTGGCACTCTTCAATTTTCACTCGCTCTTTGACACTCGTCTTCCTAATTAAATACTTTAGAAAATTATTATTTAAATAATGGTCAGTTTTTAAATAATTATTCATAATTATTTTAATAAAAATAATAAATTAAATTAAATTATAATCTTCAGGCGGATAAGGAAAAGAAGAAGAAGACAAAAAAGAAGGAAGACGCATCGCCAACCCCAGCACCAGCTGCAGCAGCTTCACCAACACCTCCTCCAGAGTCACCCAAGGAAGCTCCCAAGTCAAAGAGTCCTTCAGGAACACCCAGCGGGTCCCAAAGAGCCAGCAGCCGTGGCTCCAAACGTGCAAAGCGCGCTGGATCCAGTGTCTTCTCTCTGTTCACACAGAAGCAAGTCGCTGAGTTCAAAGAAGTACTTGTCTTTTATTTAACCACCAAGACATCGTCTTCTTTGGATTTTTTTAAGTTTATTTATTTATTTATTTTTTTTTTTTTTTTTTTTTTTTTTTCAAGGCCTTCCAGATGATGGACCACGACAAAGACGGCATCATCGGCAAGGAAGACCTGCGCCAGACCTTCGACTCAGTTGGTCGTCTGGCCACTGACAAGGAGTTGGACGCGATGCTGGAAGAGGTAGAGGGACCCATCAACTTCACTCAACTTCTCACTCTGTTTGCCAACCGTATGTCGGGAGGTTCGTACGAGACAATCTTACCATTTAAAACTACGTGACGGGTAAGGGTCACACAGAGGTAAAGGAAACTATAGAATTGGCGAGCCAGCAGCCCTCCGTTTCACCGGATCTACAAATAAAAATTCAATTATTATTTTTATTTATTTTAAATATCTAAATTTATTTTTAATTGTTAGACTTAAAATTTGTGTCAGTGTCAATGTTACCTTTTTTTAAATTTATGTCTTCCAAATGTGTCTTCTTCCCAATTTAAATTTATCCGAGTGTTTTTTTTATTTTTTTAACGAATGATCTGAAGTTAACTGACATTAAAAATTTTTTTTTCAATTTATAACAATTAATTTATTATAAAAAAAATTAATTTAAAAAATTCCACATGTTAAAATTAAAGTTAGCTGTCATTTAATCATTTTTTAATTTTTTTTAACAAACAAATTTGTTCTAAAAAATTATTTTTTAATTTTTAAAATTTCATGAAAATTAATTTTAATAATTTTTAGAATTTTTCTAACAAATTGTGGAAAAAAAAATTAAGAAAAAAAATTGACAGGTAGAAATTAAAAAAAATTAAAATTAAAATTTTTTAATAATAATTTTTGAGAATTAATTTAATTGTTAAATAAAATTAAAAATTTGTCAAGTGACAGCTAACTTTAATGTCATTAAAATTTCTACTTGTCAATTTTTTTTTGCTATAATTTATTTATTACAAAAATTCTTAAAATAATTTAGTATCTGCTAAATTAATTATGAATATTAAAAAACATTAGTGGAAATTTTTTTATTGTAATTGATTGTTGTAACAATTAAAAAAAAATGACAGTTGTAAGCTAACTTCAGCATTGTTAAGACCTTTGTCTTGTTCAAAAATTTGAATTTTTGAGGTTACCTTCACTTGAATGTCAAACCCGGTATGTTTTTTCTTCTCTATTTATTTATTTATAATTGGTCTTTATTATTAGTTAAAAAAAAGAAAAATAATTGTTTTGTGTCCTGAAAATCGTGATAATTAGTTTATAAATTGATGTAATTGTAATTAATCGTGTCAACCCAAAAAAGTGTGAGCGAACGTGTTTCGCCTCCTTATCCTGGTCTTGCTCTATGTGTTTTCTGCACTTGTCTGTGTGGCCCTTACCCGTTCATTAGTACTCACTATGCCTCGTTGGCGATGTTACAGCAGGATCGGATGAGGACTCAGTTATTATCGAGGCCTTCAGCACCTTTGACACCAATGGAAAGATCAATGGAGACCGGTGAGTAAACTTTTAATTTAAAGTGTGATGATACTGAAGTTGACAAAAAAATTTTTTAAAGTAAAAAATCAAGTAAATTCTTTTTTTTTTAAATTTTATTTAATAATTCTACATGTGAAAATTATTAGTGGAAGTTTTTAAAAGTCTTTTTATTGTTGTAATTAATTTAAAAAAAAATTGACAGCTGTCAGCTGACTTTATTGTTATAAAAATTTAAAAAAGTCAGTGGAAATTTTTAGCTGTTTTTTTTGTAATTAATTTGTTACAAAAATTAAAAAAAATTGACAGCTATCAGCTGACTTCACTATTATAAAATATTTAATAATTTTTAGAATTTTTTTTAATAAATAAATTATAGCAAAAAAAAATTATTAAAAAAATGTACTTGTAAAAATTTTTAAAAATTAAAAACGCAATTTTTTAAAAATAATTTTATAGAATTAATTTAATTGTTAAATAAAATTAAAAATTAATCAAGTGACAGCTAAATTTAATGTCATAAATTTTTAGAAGCATTTTTTTTTTTTGTAATTAATTTATTACAAAACTTAAAAAAAAAAAAAAATTGACAGCTAACAGCTGACTCAGTAATGAAAATTAAGTTAGGCGACATTTAATAATTTTTAGAATTTTTTTTTTATTGAAGAAATGATCACAAAAAAAATAAAAAAAAAAATTTCACTTGTAAAAAACTTTAAAAACTGTAAGTGTAATTTTTTTAAAATATTTTTTTGTTCTAATTTAATTATTAAAAATTAAAAATGTCAGCTAACTTTAGTATTATGTCTCAGTATCATATTTAAAATTACCCCGTGAACTTTAAATAAATTTAAAAATAAAATTGTCCAGGTTGAGGCACGCTCTGTTGACCTTTGGCGACAAATTCACAGCCAAGGAAGTAAACGATGCCTTTGACAACATGTACATTGATGAGAAAGGAATGATTGACACCCAGAGTCTTATTGCCATGCTGACCGGTACCGGCGAAGAAGATGATGAATAAACCCATCAATAAATAAATAAACAAATAAATTAATTAATTATGATGATAATAATAATAATAACAAGCTGGTCCATCTCATCGTTTTACTCAAAAAATTAATTTTAAAATATTTATTTAATTAAAAAGTCTTTTAATGGCTGGCAAAGTTGCACCTTGGACTTGAACGCGCGATTAGCTGAGCCCTGGTTAATTTTATTTATTTAAACAAAGAATATAAATATTAATACCTAAATTTCAATAAAACTCGGGGACATCTGTTCGTGTATATAATAATAATAATAATAATAATAATAATAATAATTATAATAATAATAATGATAATAATAATAATTTATGTATACGTGTGCTGTACTTATTGAGATTGTAGTATATGTACAACATCAGAGATATAATTCCCTTGCATCCTTCACTATTCATTTTCGTAATAAATAATTTAAAGTAATAGTAATAATAATAAAATTATAATAAGAATAATAATAATAATGATATATATAAATAAAAAATAAAGAGACGGGCTATCGTCAAAGGAGGTTTTAAAATCCTTGAATATCGTTCATAAAAAATTTTTAAATCCCTTAAAATTATAAATTATTAAATAAATAATAATAATGGTTAATTAATTATTTAAATAATATAAATATCTTTATTTTTAATTTGGCATTTCTTCAAGTGATAATAATATTTATTATTCAATGAAGACGATGTTTTCACTTAGTACAATTAATAGAGTACAAAAGTGAATATATATTTAAATATTTCATATGGTATTTATAAACAAACCTTGGATTAAGTAATTTTATTTATATATTCAGTGCTTGGGTGGCCGTTCACCGAATAACAAGCTTCCTACTCTCACATTTGTACTGCCAAGTTCAATCTAAAAAATAATTTAGTCAATAATTTAAATTAAAAAATAATTTTTTTATAAAAATACTAACAGCATGCTCAAAGTCAGTAGACATTCCCATAGATAATTCAACTTGCTCTTTATCAAGACTCAATTCTTTACAAATTTCTTCCCTGCACTGTCTCAAAGAAAGAAAGTCTGGATTAGGACCGCTCGCTGGATCGTAACCGTAGGCTCCAATTGTCATAATTCCCAAGAAGTTTAAATTTTTACAATTTTCTAGGACGTGTTTTACCAACGAGGAAGCTTCAGCAGGCTCGCATCCACTTTTTTCTGTAATAAAAATTAAATAAAAAATACGGAAATTAAAATGACACTGAAGTTAGCAGACGTCTAAAAATTTTTGATTTTTTTTTTTAATTAAATTACAACTAAAAAGATATTTATAAAAAATTGCACTTATAGTTTTTCAAGTTTTTTACATCTGACAATTTTTTGATTGAAATTTTTTCAATTAAAAATTTTGAAATGTCAGCTAACTTTGTTTTCATAAATTAAATTAAATAAAAATCAGTGGAATTAAAATTGGTTGGTGATGAGCAATACCTTCTTCTTTGCTGGTGTTTACTTGGACCATAATATTAAGCTTGGAGTCATCACTTCTTCTGAACTTCGGCCAAGCAATATCTAGCGCCGTTGCCAATTTATTCGAGTCGACTGTCTCGACAACCCAGAGATTCGGCACCGCCAGCACTTTATTTACTTTGTTTCTCTGCAGGTGACCGATGAAATGCCAGCGGATGTTACGCTTTAGGATATCAGGGTGTCCGGCTTTTTCGATCAACTCGTTGACGTAATTTTCCCCAAAGTGTTGTTGACCGGCGTCGTAAGCGTCTATCACCAAATTTGGCGGCTTTGTCTTGCTGACAGCAACCAGTCGCGGTATTACATTACCTAACTCCTAAAATAAATTGTAAATATTTTGATTTTATTAAAATAAATTTTGTTGATAGATATAAAAATTTATTTTGCAGGTATTTTGTTTTTTAATAAATCATGACAAAAAACAATTGACAAGTTTAAAAAAATTAATTTTTTTTTTTCTAATAAAATTAAAAAATAATCTAGTGATTGCTAACTTTAATGTAATTAATAAATAATTGATTTTTTTTTTTATTTACTTACAGATGGACGTCTAGAACATGCTTGAGAAATTTTATCTCTAACGAAACTGAGGTTTCCAGCTATGTCCACCATTTTTATCTTCATTATATAAATAGTCAGTGGTATTAATTATATCAACAATTAATATTGTTATTAAAGGTTATCATCATTTTTGTATTATTAAAAATATTACAATCATTAGATACAATAATACAAGTTACTCTGTATTAATTAAAAACATGGAGAACGTCAAATTAGTTTAACAAATCCCGGCAGAGGTCACTTGAAAAAGAGTGGGGGATAACAGTAATACAAATATTCATTATTTTTATATTACATTATTTGGAAAATTTATGACATTAAAGTTAGCAGTCACTTGACAAATTTTAATTTTATTCAACAAACAAATTTGTTCCAAAAAATTAGTTTAAAAAATTGCATTTTTAATTTTTTACAATTTTTACATGTCAATTTTTTTTGCACTAATTTATTTTTTAATTAAAAAAAATTATTAAATATCTGCTACTTTAGTTTTCAATATAATAATAAAGTTAGCCGACATTTTTGATTTTTTTATTTTGCCTAATTGATTAAATTATAACTAAAAAATATTTTTAAAAAATTGCACTTATAGTAATAATTTGTAATAAAAAAAAATCATAAAAATTTTTAGATATCGGCTAACTTTATGGTCATTAATTTTTAATTTTAATTTAAAACAATTCTATACTCAATTACACATCAATAATGATAACGATAGAAAAATAGATTGACTTGTTAAAAAAATTTAAAACACCTTCTTATGCATGAATAGAATTTTTCTTTTTAAACAATCAAAGTACAAAGTCCCAATCTGGCTGTGGTGCGTGTGAATTGATACCTACTTACGGATTAATAATTATATACATATCCGTTGATTACAAAATTGGTAACTCAGATTTACCTATGATATCAGACGTTATACTCTCGAGGAAGCGCGTAATAATCATAACAAAAATAAACAAGATAAAATATTACATAATTCAAAAGTGATAACAAAATAATTTGAGATCAATTATTTAACAGAAGAGTTTATAATTGTATAATACTAATTATTTCCTTGCATAAAGGAAGAATTCATACGTTTAAATTATATTACAATCATGAGTTGGGAATAAATTGAGGTATTGCTCTCTCAAAAGTACTTCTCCAAATATTTCACCAAGCCACTTGGATCAATATTTGGTCCTTGTCGCTCGACGACTTTTCCGTCTTTGTCGACGATGAATTTTGTAAAATTCCACTTGATTGAGCTTCCCAGCAATCCGCCCTTTTCCTGCTTCAAGTACTTCCACAGTGGATGAGCTGTCTCACCATTGACGTCTATCTTTTCAAAAAAATCAAACTTGATCTACGCGGGAAAAATAAAAATAAAATAAATTACAAGAATTTTATCAAAGTTTGCTAAACAAAAATAATTAATTAAAATAAAAAAAAATTACTTTTTGACGATTAGCAAAGCTGCAAATTTCTTCACTGCCTCCGGGCTCTTGACCGTTGAATTGATTGCATGGGAATGCCAAGATACGAAGACCTAAATTATTTTTTAAAATTAATAAAAACCATTGTTGAAGAAATGATAAATTTTATATAATTACCACGAGACTCTGCATATTTATCATAAAGCTCATTCAGTTCTTTGTAATTAGTAGCAGCGAGTCCACACTTAGATGCGACATTTACAATCAACAGAACATGGCCTTTATACCTGAAATTTAATTCATAGGAATGTTTAAATTAACAGTTTATAGAAACCGGAATTGAGATCCAAGAATAATAAATAAATTCGTGGTTTAACCTACTTTTCCAAAGGTACTTTTTCCCCCTTAATGGATTCAGCTTCGAAATCATGGACGGACTTGGCCGACTTGTAATCCAAGTTTCCACTCATAACTAAATATTTTAATTAATTACAGAAATATTTAATCATGTTTTAATTAAATAATTTTTTTTGTAACACTAAATTATTTTTAGCGACATGTAAATTTATTTAGCAGATATTTGACAGTTTTTTAACAAATAAATTATGACAAGAATTTGTTGTTAAACTCCTACAGTTAATTTATCATGCAAATAGAATTAAAACAATTTAAAATATGATAATAATTGAATTTTTCAATTTAACTACTTATAACTTGAGAGTATTTAAATACGTGCCTGGTAAATTTCGAATTTGTTGCAACCCGGCAGGTATTATTGGACATTTCAAAAAACGCATTCTTCTCCAATAGATTTATTCAGTCCAAAAAAAAAATTATTTATTTGTCACAATTAATTACTCTCAACTTCAAAATTTTTCATTCAAAAAAATTTAAAAATTTATTTACCAGATATTTAATAATTTTTTAAAGAAATAAATTATGGCAAAAAAATATTGACCTGTAGAAATTAAAAAAAAATAAAAAATGTAATTTTTTGGAACAAATTTGATGGTTAAAAAAAATTAAAAAATTATCACTGTTAACTTTAATATAATTTCCTTTTGTAAGTAAACAAAATTAACTTTCAGTTTTTATTTAAAAAATATAGAGACATAAAAGTTAAAAAAATAATTTCCTTTTTATCAATTAAAACTCAAAAATTTTCTGTTACTTTGCAAAAAAATTTTTGAACTTGCAAGTAGCGCCATCTATGAAGAAAACAGCGAAAGAACTGATCCGTCATCAAGAGATTACTCACTCACAGGCAATTTATTATTTTTATTGAGTCAGTTATTTACTTATTAAATAAAATTATAAAATTTAACTATCGAATGAAATTGAATTGTTCTTAAAGTAAACGATTTATCAGAAATATTTTTACCTATTGTTGTTGTAGTATGTAATATAAAATAATTATTGTAGAGATAATATATATTTATTTGCAGGTGAAAAAAATGCTCACTAAACGAACAGAGCAACTAACTACGACTTACACTTTACACTATTGCCGCGTTCCACTAAGCGCTTAGTAGAGCACCCCCTATGAATTATAATTAAAAGTTAACCTCAAATTTTGACAAGACTTTAGCCGGTTCATCTACCTTGCAATCTAGCAATAAAATTTAGCACGTTGAAGTGGTGTGTGATAAATCAGCTGTTCTGAAAAAGTTAAATAAAAAATTAAAATGAGAATTGCTGTGGAAGGTTGTGCTCATGGAGAGCTAGAAATTATTTATGACATTCTGATGGACACAGAAAAAAGTACTGGCAAAAAAGTAGATTTATTGGTTTGTTGTGGTGATTTTCAATCAGTAAGAAATACTGAAGATTTGAAATATATGGCTGTTCCAGATAAATATAAAGAACTGTGTTCTTTTCACAAGTAAGTACTGGAAAAAATAATTAAAATTAAAGTAGCAGTTTGATAATTTTTTTAAGAAATAAATTACTCCAAAAAAAAAAAATTGAGATAGGTATAGAAATTTTTAAAAAATAAAAATGTAATTTTTAATAATTGTTTAGAACTAATTTGTTTGTTGAATAAAATTAAAGCATGGTTAAGTGGCTGCTATCTTGTAATTTTATGAAAAAAAATTTTAGTGACAAGATGATATTTAATAAATGTTTTTGTTTTTACTCTAGATATTATTCAGGAGAAAAAACTGCTCCAGTGTTGACAATATTCATCGGAGGTAATCATGAGGCTTCTAATTATCTCCAAGAACTTCCTTATGGAGGATGGGTAGCTCCCAATATTTATTATATGGGATACGCAGGGGTGCTAAATGTCGGCGGAATCAGAATTGCTGGCATTTCTGGAATTTTCAAGGCTCAGGATCTGCTCGCTGGACATTTCGAGCAACCACCTTATAATGGTTCAACTATTAGGAGTGTATATCATATTAGAAACCTAGAAGTCTTTAGGTTGAAACAGGTACTATTTTATTATTATTAAAAAAATTATACTTAAATTAGAAGACATTTTATGATTTTTTTAACAAATAATTTATTTATTTTTTTTAATTTTTCTTGATGAATTTCATTTGTAATTTTTTAATGTTTCTAGAAATGGAATTTTTTAAAGAAATTTTTCTTTTTATAATTCATTTGTTAAAAAAATTTTTTGAATTATCAAAAGTTTCAATTTTAATATCAAGTTTAATAATTAATTAATTTATTTATTGATCATTAAACCCAACAGCCAGAGTCATTAAAAGGGATAGTAATATATATACAGAGTACTTATAAGTAGACAAATTTAGTTTTTTAAATATAAGATAGCCATATGGCGAATAAACATTATTTATCTAGGTTTAAGTTTAAATAAAATTAAAAAATAATGGAGTGTCTCCTAATTTCAGGATCATTTAAAAAAAAATTAAAATCAATTAAATAATTGATTAATTATTGATCATTTTTTATTTACAGTTAAGCGGAAATATAGATATATTTTTATCCCATGATTGGCCTTGTGGAATTACTAAGTATGGCAACGAGAAAAAATTACTGAGGTTTAAAAAATACTTTCAGTAAGTATTTATTCAAATAAAAAATAAATAATTGTATTTCTATAATTTTTATTAACAAATTTAATTTATTCAACAGAGAAGACGTCGAGAACAACGCTCTAGGCAGCCCACCAGGAATGGAGCTCCTGAAGCATCACTACCCGTCATACTGGTTTGCAGCTCATCTTCACTGTAAATTTGCAGCCCTGGTCCCAAATGAGAATCGCGATAAAGTAACAAAATTTTTGGCTCTAGATAAGTGTCTGCCAAAACGTAAATTCTTACAAATTTTAGACATACCCCACGATGAGACTCAATCGTTGTCCCTGTCGTATGACATAGAGTGGCTCTCTGTTTTGTTCTTGACAAATTATCTGCTTAGTGTTAAAAACACAACCACTTACATGCCAGGACCCGGTGGAGCCGGTCGTTGGAATTTCACTCCAACTGAAGCGGAGAAAAATATTGTGTTGGAAAAATTTAATGACGATTTAAAAGTACCTTTGAACTTTGAAAGAGAAAATGAATTGTCTTGGAGAAGTAAAAATTTACCTGTTAATAATCAAACTAAATTATTTTGCGAAAAATTGGGAATTGATGATCCCAGTGAGCTTATAAAACTTCAGCAAAGTAGAAATTAAATTAATTAGTCATTTGTATTTGTAAAAATTTATTTTTGGTAGCAATAATCAAATTTATAAATTGTAAATTTTTTAAAAATATTTTTTTTTTAATAAATGTATTATACATTTTATACATTAAATAAAATAATTCTAATTTAATAGAATTTGATATTTTTTTTATATTATAATAATTGTATCAATACACAACTGTATTTTTAATTTTTAATTAATAAGTATTGAAAATATTCTAATTTACATCTTGATATTTATTTATAATAATATTTTGAAATTTAATCCTTTTTATTAAAAAATTAAAAATAGAAAAATACTAATGGATTTTTTCTTTAAAAAAATTAACTTGATTGAAGAAAAAAATATTACGAAGAATTTAATTCAATAATAACCACATAAATTATTATTATTATTAATTATAAACAAGTAAAAGAAAATAAATTATTTAAATTTAAGAAAACAATTGATGCTTTAGATCCACTCATGCAACCTATTACTCCCAGTGACGAGCTAAAAAACGTCCGACTGGAACTAATAAGCTTCAATGTGTATCTGCAGGATAAATAATTAACAATAATTTAAAAAAAATAATTAAATATCGAAGATTACACGAAATTAGTGCTGTGATGTGTTTTCAAAGCTACATATCACCGCACTAGTTTCTTACAATCAATGACATTGTTATTAAAACTAGGATTAGAAGTAATCCGTCTGATTAGCGTGAGATTTAACAGACAAGGTATTGTTAAATATTTATTTAATGCTTAGACCCAAATAATAAGTCTACACTCTATTTTAATTATAACAATTTTGTTTTTAAATAAAATGACACTGATTTATTCACGATATTAAAATAACATTAATAGCAGCCATTTTAATTCAAAAAATTATTTAAAAAAAATATTATTTTATAATTTAAACAAATTTTGAATTTTTTTTTACCATAATTTATTTGTAATAAAAATTTTTTAAGTTATTAAATATGTTAAATTAATTTTCACGATACTAAATTAAGCAGATAATTAATAATTTTTTATTTTTTAAATCAATAGAAATTAATTTCAAAAAACTGCACTTAAAATTTTTCCTTTTTAATTTTTTTTTTGAATAATTTTTTAAAAATAAAAAAATTATAAAAATTTTCAGATGTCGGGTAATTTATTTTTTATTAAGCACACTAATCACATTTTTAAATTTATTTAAGATGCACGAAGAAATGACCACGAAGAGCATTTTACCCGGTGAGAATTAAAACACCCCAACCGCATTAAATGCGCCTCAAGTAATTTCTAATTTAATAAAAAAAAAAAATAATACACTAAAAGTCCTCATTTAATTACCGAGCAAGTAACTGAAGATTGATGACTGGTATTCTTTTGGTTATCAAAGATATTTTATATCACCTTTCCCACCGCTTTATTATTTTTGGGCCCTTCTTATTATTTTTATCAGCGCGCTTGATTGGCTGGAAAATTAAAATAATCTAAAAAAGATAAAAATTTCATCAGTTTCTTTGTAATTAAAATTCCTTTTTGTTATTGGAAATTTTTAAGTCAATTTTTAAACACTTTTACTTAGTAAAAAAAATCCTTCCACTTTGCTCCAAAAATTGACAATCTAAAAAAAATAAATAATCAGTTTATCTTTACGCTACTTCATCACACTTGATACTAAATTTTTTTTTATTAAAGAACTAGACGTGCTCTCTAATAAAAAAGTGAATTTTATGACTGATAATCCGTGGAATATCTTCAAAGCTGCGTAAAATATCTACTCATTATAGTTTTTATATCAGTTCTTATGATAAAACTAAAGAGCTATTAAACTAATGGCCGTTAAAAATCCCAGAGTATTTAACTCTGACGCATTAAGTGTACTTATACTTAGAAATTCATTAAAATATCATTACCAAAATTAAATAGCTTCTTTTTTTTACTATGAAAGTAATTATTGTAAATAACAGCATTTAAAATCAATTTTTCAGAAGCGAAAAATTATTTTTTATGATACTGAAGTTAGCTAACAGCTGTCAAATTTTTAATATTTTTATAACATAACAATTGCAATATTAAAAAATGCTTCTAAAAATTTCTTCTAATTATTACTTGTAAGTTAAGTTAATTATTAATTAAATTTATTGTTAATTGTTTTTTTTTTTTAATAATTATTTAACTGTTAAAAAATTATAAAAAATTTTTTAACTTCTGTTAACTTCAGTGTGATTATTTTATTGCAATTGTTACCTGTAACCATAACCTTTAATTAATGAGTGCGAATAAAATTAGTCTTCTTCTTTTAAATTAGTAAATCTAAATTACTAACGAAGAAGAAATGTAATTAATAAGTAAAATTTAAATAAAATAATTATAATAGTAATAATATTGCGTTGTAAGAAAAAAAAAAAGCGGTTGACTGACGTCAACTGATAGCTGATGCAAAATGCCGATTTGACATTTTTTAATTTTTGCATATTCTGTATATTTAATGACGATTTATTTTTTATCAAATAATTATTTTATAACAAATTTTTTATTGTTTCAGAAAAATATAATTTTTTTACAATCTTTTAATCATTGTAAAATTATCCGTAAAAATTTCAAGTTTCTTCTTGAAGAAAATATGAAAATTAATTTAGCATATATTTGATAATTTTAAAAATTTTATAAAAAAAAAAATTGACACTAAAAATTTTTGATTTTTTTTTTTTTAGTTAAATTATAACTAAAAAGATATTTTTAAAAAATTGCATTTATAGTTTTTAAAGTTTTTAACATGTGATATATTTTTTTTTTATTGTTTAATTGAAATTTTTTGGATAAAAAAATTTTTAAAAATTTTGAAATGTCAGCTAACTTCATTTTCATTAAAAATTATAATAATAAATTAAAAATTCAATTTTTAAAAATAATTTTTCGGTACAAATTTTTTTTTAAGTGACAGCTAACTTTAATATCATTAAATATTTATATTTTTTTTAATTTAAAGTATGTAGAGTTTACCGAAATAAAAAATGCCGGCGGGTGAATAAAAATCGTGGAAAAATTTCAAAATCATTGAAATATAACTCCTGTAATTACTATCAGCTTCAAATAATAAACGACGTAGTAACACGTGTACCTGGTATTTAAAGAATGCACAACTGATATTAAATTAAATAATATTATTAGTTATCGTATTATCAAAAAGTTTTTATAAAGATTATAAAAATATTTGTCTTGAGTTGCTCAATCAAGAGAGAGAATAATTATTTTGGTGCTTATCAGTTTTTAATAATTATTTACGATTGACAGTTATCAAATCTTCAGATCCTTGATAGAAAAATTATTTTTCTTACATATTTTAAAAGTTTCAAGTAGCTATAGGTATACTGAATATTATTATATATCTTTCATACAATTGTCAAATTCTTGGAAGACATGTCATTAACTACTTCCAGTTTTTCCACAATCACTTTTAAAATCTTCAAGCTATAATTACTAATTAATTTTTAAAATCCTTTAAAAATCTTTTAAGCTGAAATTTTTATCACACGGAAGTTAGCAGACGTCTAAAAATTTTTGATTTTTTTTTTTTTTTTAATTAAATTACAACTAAAAAGATATTTCTAAAAAATTGCACTTATAGTTTTTCAAGTATTTTACATGTGACAATTTTTTTTTTAATTGTTTAATTGGAATTTTTTCAATAAAAAATTTCTAAAAATTTTGAAATGTCAGCTAGCTAACTTCATTTTCATAAATTTTTTACATGTCATTTTTTTCTCTTATATTGCCAGTACAATTATTATAAAAGATGTAAAATTTTTTAACAGCTGAAGATAAATAACCAGCAGCCAAGATCGCAGTAACGTACCAATGTTTAGTAAATAGTAAATCTGCCATTGTTGTTTTTTACTTTTGATCAAACGGAGCAGGTCATGCAACAGTTATTGTCCAATGTACACTGATCATTCCACTTTCTACGGTGTACGTGACACGTAGCTTGTCAGTCATGGCAGGTAAGCACTAAATATTTATTATTTAAATAATAAAATCTATTTATATTAATAAATTACTATTTAAACTCTTATTGATAATCATAATAATAAATTTTTGTGACTTTCATTTGAAAAAAAAATAAATAGAAACAATGATTTAATGGTGAAATAATTAGTAATGACATTGTAAACAAGTCTGTTATTGTCCTAATTGTTGATATTTATTTTTCAGTGCCAAACCCTTATGATAATCTTCTGAAAACAGTTGTTGTAAATAGTAAAGAACGAAGTTATTATGACATATCATCATTTGGAAAGAAATATGGTATGTGGATATGACCTTTGACATTTATTAACCTGATTGAATTTTTTATCATATCATTATTTAATAACCTATATTATTTATTTAATAATGATAATAATAATTTTGCAATTAAAAAAAAAAATTCATTTAAGTAATAATAATTTTTTAATAAAAAAAATTTTTTTTTTAGTATTAGAAAAAATTAATTTTAATAATAATAACAATTTTATAGTTAAAAAAAATTTTTTTTTAATATTTAATAGTAAAAAAAAATTAATTTTAATAATAATAATAATAATTTTTCAATGGAAAAAAAATTTTTTTCAACATTTAATATTAATAAAAATTCAATTATAATAAGAATAATAATAATTAAACATGATATAGATCGATTGCCGTTTTCAATAAGAGTATTGCTAGAAAGTGCAGTAAGAAATTGCGATGGATTCCAAGTCAAAGACCAAGACGTCCAAAAGATTCTTGACTGGGAGACGAACCAGGCAAGCGATGACGTCGAGGTAGCATTCAAGCCAGCCCGAGTAATTTTGCAAGACCTGACTGGAGTTCCAGCGGTCGTTGATTTTGCAGCAATGCGAGATTGCGTTAAAAGATTAGACGGAGACCCGAATAAAATAAATCCAATTTGTCCTTCGGACCTGGTCATCGATCACTCGATCCAAGTCGACTTTGTCCGCAGGTGGATTGCTATTTTAATTACTTTAAGCATTTACTTAATTATTCTTTTTTTTCTTGTTATTATGTAATTTAAATTGTTTAAATTTAACAGCGGAGACGCCTTGAAGAAAAATGAAGACCTGGAATTTGAACGTAACAAGGAGAGATTTTTGTTTTTGAAGTGGGGAGCTAAGGCTCTGAAAAACATGCTAATAGTCCCTCCAGGAAGTGGAATTGTACATCAAGTTAATTTGGAGTACTTGGCACGTGTTGTTTTCGATTCGGATAATCTTCTTTATCCGGATAGCGTTGTTGGTACTGATTCACATACGACTATGATTAATGGTCTAGGAATTTTAGGATGGGGTGTAGGTCAGTGTCTTTAATTCATTATTTTACTGGAAAAAAAATATATATATTTATATTCTAACAATAATAATTTTTTAATGAAAAAAATATTTTTTTTAATATTTAATATTAATAAAAAAATAATTTTTCAATTAAAAAATTTTTTAAAATATTTATTATTAAAAAAAATTAATTTAAAATTAGAATTCAAGAATTCTTGATGAAATATTTTTGCTCTTCCATCAATTTTATTTTATTTTTTATAATTAAATTGTTGCTTATTATATTTATTAATTAATTTTAATTATAATTTAGGTGGAATTGAAGCTGAGGCTGTTATGCTGGGCCAAGCTGTTTCAATGTTGCTACCCAAAGTCATAGGATACAAACTCGTAGGCACTCTAAACCAATATGTCACCTCCACAGATCTTGTACTAACCATCACTAAAGTAAATATCCAATTAATAAATTATTTAATTCCACAATTTGCTAATTTTAATCAAAACTATTATTTAGAATTTAAGACAGCTGGGTGTTGTTGGAAAATTTGTTGAATTTTACGGCCCAGGAGTGTCTGAATTAAGCATCGCAGATCGTGCAACTATTTCAAACATGTGTCCAGAGTACGGTGCTACTGTTGGATTCTTCCCGGTAGATCAACAAAGTTTGAGCTATTTAAGACAAACTGGTAATTTTATTTTCACTAAAAATCACCCACAATTTTTTTATTAAAATTATTAATTATTTTTGTTTATAATTAATTATTTTTATTAAAATTATTAATCATAAAATTAATAAATTAACTAAAAATTTTTCAGGTCGTTCCGATGAACACATAGAGCGTATAGAAAAATATTTAAGTGCTGTAAAAATGTTAAGAGATTACAGCAATGAATTACAAGACCCCATATTTTCTGAAACAGTAACCTTGGACTTAGCGACGGTTGTATCAAGTGTAAGCGGGCCAAAAAGACCCCACGATCGTGTTTCAGTATCAGATATGAAACAAGATTTTAATCAGTGTCTCACTAATAAGGTACTTAGTATTATTATTATTATTATTATTATTATTATTATTATTATTATTAAGTAAATAAAAAAAATATTATCGTTGATTTTCGACACATTAATAAAGCCATTACTTCCAGTGACGTTTTAATTTGCACTTCACTAGTAATAATGAGCTCAATTGTGTGTCTAAATTAATGAAATAATTTATTAAAAAATAATAAATTTATTAAAATAATAATGATGATAATTCGGTAAGATCACGGAGAACTAGGGCTGTGATTTGCTATCACAGCGACAAATCACGTCCCTAGATCCCTGCACTCAAACCGATTTAACTTAACTTAACTAAAAAAAAAAAAAATATTAAATATTAAACACTCGTTGTAAATTTCAAATGAATTTATTTTTGGTAAAATAGCTTTATGGAATAATCTTACATACAGCTAGTTTACCAAAGACAAATTCACTTAATCAGACTTGAAGAACTTGAAGAACAGCTGGATGATCTGGTTGAGTTCTACTCTCAAAGACGAGCATTCCTCTAGTCACAATTCTAAATCTCTGGGACTAGAGAAATGCCACGGTTTCGAAAGTATGGATACTTGAAGTTTAAGCTGAAGTAAAATATTAAATTAAAAATTTTAACACTTAAACACGAGTATCATTTCTAGTCACATTTTGAATTACTGTGGCTGAAAGGATACTTGTACTCAAATGCTAAACTTAATTGCACTGAAGCTTACTTTACTACTCGAGGTAAAATTTGGCTAGCAACTGGCGTGCCTTGAGTGAGCATGCCAATTTATACCCTAAAATCTGCTCCCACTACTGCTAGGCCCTTCCTAATTGCTTCTTACCTATTTGCACACTTGATTGGTCGAAAAATTTTTCATTAATTTGCCAGTTGGGCATGCAAAGTGCAAATGTCTCTCCCCACTTTTTTTTTGTCATCGCCCTTTGCATTTCTTAGAATTGCAATTTATAATTTATTCAAATTATTAATAACTAATATTAAATGAATAATTTAATATTTAAACAATAATTAAGATTAACAAATTAAATGTACAATAATAAAATAAGAATTATTGCAGTCATTTTTTAAAAAAAAAAAAAAAAAAAAAACCGAAAAAAAAAAAAATTTTTTTTTTTTTTTTTTTTTTTTTTTTTTTTTTTTAATAATTAATTTTTTTTTCAGTATAAGGTAAAAGACCCAGTTGATGACACTGGCCTAGTTATCGACACTTGCAATTTTATTTTAAATAAAAAAAACAAATTAACTCTAATAAATTAATGAATATAATTTTTGAATTATAAATTTTAACTGGGTCTTTTACTTTAATTGTATGAAAAAGAAAATTAAATTTTTGGCTTGAATAAATTAAATAATTTATTTATTTATTTATTAATAATTAATTTTTTTTCAGTATAATTATATTAAAAAACATGAAATTTTTGGCTTGAATAAATTAAATAAATCATTTATTTATTTATTAATAATTAATTTTCTTTTCAGTATAATTATATTAAAGAAAATTAAATAATATATTCATTTATTAATAATTATTTTTTTTTCAGATTGGTTTTAAAGGATACGGATTATCTCCAGATAAAATAAAAACTGAGGGTAAATTTACATTTGAAGGTCAAGAATATTCTCTAAAGCATGGCTCAGTGGTAATAGCAGCGATAACAAGCTGTACAAACACGAGTAATCCGAGTGTAATGCTTGGCGCTGGTAAAATAACTACAAATTTATAGAAAAAAAAATTAATTATTATTAAATAATGAATTAACTACATAAAAATAATTTTTTAGGTCTTCTAGCAAAAAACGCAGTGGAAGCAGGCTTGACCGTAGCGCCGTACATAAAAACGTCTCTCTCACCAGGTTCCGGGGTAGTGACCTACTACCTCCGAGAAAGCGGAGTAATTCCCGCGCTGACCGAGCTGGGTTTTGAGATCGTCGGGTACGGATGCATGACATGTATCGGGAACAGCGGTCCGCTGGAAGACTCAATCGCGGAGACGATAGAGAAAAACGAGCTAGTGTGCTGCGGAGTTTTGTCGGGAAACCGCAACTTCGAAGGCAGAATACACCCGAGTACCCGAGCTAATTACTTAGCTTCACCATTGCTCGTAATAGCGTACGCGATTGCAGGTACAGTGGACATAGACTTTGAGACAGAGCCTCTAGGTCGCCGCGCCGACGGGTCTGGTGTCTTTTTGCGGGACATTTGGCCAACGCGCGTTGAGATCCAGGCGGTGGAGCAGCAGTACGTGATACCTGCGATGTTCAAGAGCGTTTATAATAAAATAGAGAAAGGCAGCAATCGCTGGGCGAGTCTCGTTGCACCAGAGGGTCAGCTTTATCCTTGGAACGAAGACTCTACCTACATTAAGCACCCTCCGTACTTTGAAAACCTTCAAAAGGTATTTTGATTTTATCTTTTTCCGAGAATATTTATTTTTCTCTATTGTTAAGCTAAGCCGTGTCATAAACTTGCAAAGTAATTACTCTTTTGTGCTGAAAATAATACAATGGTTTTTTTATTTTTAAATTTAAGGACTTACCTGAGGCGAAAAATATTCATAAAGCTAGAGTTTTACTTAATCTTGGGGACTCGGTTACTACTGACCATATAAGTCCGGCTGGAAGCATTGCTCGGAATTCGCCAGCTGCTAGATATTTGGCTAAGCGAGGGTACAATTACTCATTCTTTATTTCTATTACTTTGTCTTTTTTTTTTTTTTTTGTAAGTACTTTTGGCTTATTGTAGTACCTCATTACAGACTGACACCCAGAGAATTTAATTCTTATGGAGCTAGACGAGGAAATGATGCCGTTATGGTTCGAGGGACCTTTGCTAATATTCGTCTAGTCAATAAGTTTATTGGGAAACCTGGCCCGAAAACTCTCTACATACCTAGTAATGAAGAGGTATGATTTATGGGGTACTTAGTTTAAACCTTGAAATTTTTTTTATTGTCAGTTTTTCGCTTATTTTACGATACTAAATTACTACAGTTTTGAATAAAATTCTTAGAACTAATAAATTAATTATTGGAATTTTTATAACAAGAAATTTTTTCAAAATTTAATTTTATAATTTATAAATCTAGAATTTTTTTGTTAAATAGTTTTCCATTATTTAATTGTTATAGAAATCTAGAATTCTTAAATTTAGTATTGAGTAATTTTTTCAATTAAAAAAAAAAAAAAATTGGCTACTTGTTAATTCTTATATAATTTATTATCTATTTTATTGAGAGAATAAGAAAAATTTTGTGTAGAGGATAGTCATGATGAAATTGATTTTTTTTAGAAATTTAGTGTCATTACAAAAGCCTTAAATTTGTGCCTTTTCAATTTGTTCCATTTCATTCTCACCGATAGTAGTCAATTAATTATTTAGGCTGCATTTGAAAATGCTCTGTCTCTAGATACATAATTAAGAAATGACCTTGTATCTTGTGAACTATTGACATTTTTAAAGATATAAGCTCATCCTGACATTACACTCATCAAGACCTTTCATTTGAGTACCTACATCAATTTTTCATATATTTCATATATTTATATATATTGTATATATGAAAAATATATCAAAAATGTATGTGGGTACTCAAATGAAAGCTCTTGATGAGTGTAACATGTAGGATGAGCTTAGATCTTTCAAAATGTCAATAATTAAAAAATGACCTTGTATCTTAACTATTGACATTTTTAAAGATATAAGCTCATTTCGACATTACACTTATCGAGACCTTTCATTTGAGTACCTACATCAATTTTTTATATATTTTATATATTAATATAAAAATATATCAAAAATACATGTGGGTACTCAAATGAAAGGTCTCGACGAGTGTAACAGCATGATGAGCTTATATCTTAAAAAATATTAATATTTAAGAAAGTACACTGCAATTTAACAAAAGTCATTATTTAATAAAACAAAATTTTCTTTATTTATATTGCACAAGTCACGGCAGTCACGTAGTGACTGCAAGGTTGCTAGTTATTTATTAATTAATAAATTTTACAGATGGATATTTTCGACGCTGCAGAAAGATACATCAAGGAAAAAATTCCTCTGATTGCTCTAGTCGGCAAAGAATACGGATCAGGATCATCAAGAGACTGGGCAGCCAAAGGTCCATATCTTCTTGGAATTCGTGCAATTATTGCCGAGTCTTATGAAAGAATACACAGATCAAACTTAGTCGGAATGGGAATCGTACCGCTTCAATACTTGCCCGGACAGACCTCTGAAACTCTGGGTCTCACCGGATTTGAATTATTTGATATAGACATTCCTGCTAATTGTCAGCCGCATCAACAAATTACAGTACGAACTGACACGGGGAAAAAGTTTGATGTAATTGTGAGATTTGATACTGAGGTTGACCTCACTTATTTCAAACACGGCGGCATCCTTAATTATATGATCAGAACTATGATTTAGTTTTTTTTATTCAGAAAAAATATAATTGAAATTGTCAATAAGATTCATCGCTTAATTTTGTAATATTGTTTGAAGATTGCCTTGCCTATGAGGAATAAATTAGCGTGTAATGTAAATTTAGAATTGTTTTATAGCGAAATATTGATAGAAATCATGAATAGTTAATTGAGGAAGTTATTAAAATTTTTTTGACACTAAAGTTAACTGACAGAAATTTTGTATTATTTTATATCAATAAAATTACTATTATTAAAAAAAAAAATAAAATTTTTTTATAGTAATTTTGTTGTAAAAAATAAAACAATTGACAGCTGTCAGCTAACTTCAGTGTCATTAATTTTAAGGAGTCTCTGTTATACAGGTTGGGTTCAAATTTTATATTATTTATCGTATTTAATAGCTTTATACTGTTAATAAATTTTAAGGACTTTTGTTATGGGGTTTTTTTTTTTTTTTTTTTAATCAAAAAAATTATACAAGTTAAATATAGGTTTAATATCAGTGGAATATTATATTTAATTATTACAGTTTTGTAAAATAAAAATTTAGATTTCAAAAATAGAAATGATTATTATTTTATATCCTTAACATAAAATGAAAATAAATTTAGCAGATATTTAATAATTTTTTTTTTTTAAATAAATTATGGCAAAAAAAAAATTGACATGTAGAAATTTTAAAAATAAAAAATACAATTTTTTGAAAGTAATTTTATTCAACAAATTTGTTTGTTAAAAAAAAATCTAAAAATTCTCTAGTGATTGCTAACTTTAATGTTATAAAATGAAATGATATTAAAGTTAGCTGTCATTAAAATTATAAAATATCTGCTAAATTAATTTTTCCGTTAAGTCAATTTTTTTTTTTTTTATAATAATTCAATTCGAGTAATAAAAAATGCTTTAAAGAATTTTGACTAGTAATTTATTTATTTACTAGCGCCTCTAGCGGATTAAATTATTTGTCACACTGAAGTGAGCTGACAGCTGTCAGTTTTATTTACAACAAATTAATCCAAACACAACAAAATACTTTGAAAATTAAATGTGAGTGTTTCTTAAAATTATTTTTTAAAAAACAAAAAAGAAAAATAGCATTAATAAATTAACATTTTTATTTTTAGAGAACAGCTGATTGTTCTAAATGTATTAACCTTAAAATTAAACAGTTTGTGATGACTAAAAAAAAAAGTTAGCAATTTTAAATAATGTGGAGTTTTTTAATGATATTTTTAGTATGGATCCAGATTTTGTGCGGGCAATTTTATGCAGCAGTGGGCAGTTTAACGAAACAATAAAATATGAAGAATTGGATCAGCTGGTGGAAAAAGTACCTGCTGTTGATGCCCGGACAATTACCGCGCTTTCAAAGTCTCTCGCTGATTCTATTTGTTATAAAATTTCCCCAGAAGCTCACATAAAATATTCTGTGCGACTCCAATTAATAGTACGTATTTTCATAATTAATAATAATAATAATTAACTAATAATACTAAATTAAAAGACATTTTTTTTTATTAAAAAAAATAAAAAGAAAAATTGTCAGATGTTTGCTAATTTTTAAACATACTTAAGTATTTTTAAAACAAAACTGAAAAATATTTTTAAACAAGTAAATAATTATAAATAAAATTTCACTTGTAGAAATAATAAAAAATAATTAATGTAATTTTTAGAAAATATTTTCTTGGTAAAAATTTAATTTTTTAATTAAAAAAAAAAAAAAATTATTAGATGTCTGTTATTATTTTTAATAATTTTTAGAATTTTTTAAAGAAATAAATTAGTGCAAAAAAAAATTGTCACATGCAAAAAACTTGAAAAACTATGAGTGCAATTTTTTAGAAATAAATTAAAAATGTCGGCTAACGTTTATTATTATAAATTAAAACGTCTCATTATTTTGACGTTTAATGAAATTGTCAATATTATAATTTTTTTTTATTAAAAATAAATGAAAATTAATTTAGCATTCATTTAATAATTTTATAGCAAATATAAATTATGGTAAAAAAAAAAAAAAATTGACATGTAGAAATTTTAAAAATTAAAAAATGTAATTTTTTAAAATCATTTTTTTGGAAGAAATTTTTTTGATAAAGAAAATTGAAAAATTGTTAAGTGACTGGTAACTTTAATGTCATTAAAAATAAATTAAAAGTATAAAATTTACTAATTAAATTTTTTACAGGATATTCTTCGAGATTGGCTGCATCCACCACTAGGCCTTGGAGATCATCGACCATTCTGTCAGAGTGAGAACATCCTCGAGCTAAGTAAGACAATTATCATCAAATATTTACAAAAAAAAAAATTATGCGATGATAACGCGACTCCGGAGCAATTGATCACCTTGATAAGATCACTGATGAACATCGCGAGTATCAACCCAATTTACGCGCAATATTTAAAACTAATCATCAAGCAAATAACCGAATTAGAGGTAGCAGCAAATTACAAGCTAGTGCAATTTATTCTAAGCAACGAAAAAGAAATAAATTTGGAATTTTCCGCTGTTGAAGATTTGATAATCTGCCAAAGGGAGAAAATTATCGAAGAGCCGATAGTTGACTGCTTTATTTCCAATATCAACTCTCAAGATCAGTTTAGGACAACGGAGAGTTTTGATAAGTTGATGAAGAAGACTGCTTATTCTCCGAAAATTTTTCAGGTCGTTTGTAGCTTGCTGGGCAAGCTCTGCGCTCAGTTACAATTTTCCTCTTTTGTTTTAGTGTTTATACAATTTATTTTGAAGACTATTGTCTCGCTGCGCGATGATGAAGAGAAAAATTTGCTTAATCTTTATCCGATTAATTTGCAATCTCATGTAATTCTTTTGAGGATCGAACCTCGTTTTTCCACGGAGAATTCAAACAAGTATTTGTTGGAGAGCTTGAGAAAAATTTATTCTGAAGATAAAGAGCAAATTTTAATTCTCATTACTCATTTTCCTAAGTGGTTAGACGAGTTGGTACTTTTTTTATGAGATTATATATTAATTAAAAATAATTGGAGTAAATAAAATTAATAATTAATAATTAATAATTAAATAATGAATCAAATTAATTTAGTAGATATTTAATCATTTTTTTAACAAATAAATTATGGCAAAAAAAAATTAAATCAAGAAATTAAAAACAATAAAAAATTAGCCACAGTTTAATTAAATGTCATAATTATATTTAAATCAATTTAGCTGGTTTTTAATAATTTTTTTAATAAATAAATTTTATAGCACAAAAAAAAAAAAATTAAAATGAAGATTTTAATAAAATTTAAATGCAATTTTTCAGAACAAATTAATTTGTTAAAAAAAATTGAAGGAATTATCACGTGATTGCTTAATTTAATGTCATAATAATATTTAAATTAGCTCAGCAAAGATTTAATAATTTTTTGAACAAATAAATTATTGCAAAAAGCGATTTTTAAAAAAATAAAAATGTAATTTTTTTGAACAAATTTATTTATTAAAAAAAATAAGATAATTGTCAAGTGACAGTTTAATTAAATGTCATAATAATATTTAAATTAATTAAGTAAATATTTAATAATTTTTCTAACAAATAAATTATTTCAAAAAAAATTTTTAAAAATTAAAAATGAAATAAAAAAATAATAATCAAGTGATTGTTAATTTTAATGTAATTAAATAATAATAATAATAATATTGTAAATATAAAAGTCATTCGTCTAAAACCATTGAATCTGCCTTTTATTACATCCAAAAATGTTTTTTTAAATACATTTATTTTAATTATGCAATAACGTTATCTCATGTGTTTAATTAAATGTGCAATAATTATTAAGAATTATATAATAATTAAAATACATGAGAATTGACACTAAAAATTATTCTTTTCAATATATCTTCACACTTCATAGTTATCTTTATTTATTTATTTATTTATTTATTCATTTTATATTTATTTATTTTAAACAACATTTCAGGCCTGCAGCTACTATCGCCATCATGTAATTAGCGTAATTTCAACCATGTGCTGTAATAATAAAATAAGAATAGTTAAATAAATAAAAGGCGTAATTTATTAATTTTCAATTTTTAAATTTCCAACAGTCTATTAAATTTAATTATTTTTTACAGATTTATTTAACTTAATAATATTATATTTTCTTCAACATTAGTTATTTCTTCTTTATGAATTTTTTAAAATTATTATTATAATGTTAATCGGGTGCTTTTATTTAATAAATAACATGGCAGTGATGGGCTACCGTTGTCTTCACTCCAAATTATTTCTTCGCAGCCCGATAATAATAATAATAATTTATTTATTTATTTCTTCTTACTAATAAAATTATTATGTATAATTTTACAATTAATTTTATCCAAAACAATTTTTATTTATAAATAAAAATTTTATGTGAAGAATATGAAGAAAAAAAAATTTCTATAATTAATTTTATTAATTTTAAATCTTATATTCTAGTCACTATACAAAAAAAAAATATAATTATTAATATAAAGAAGAAATATGAATGTGTCTACATAAAATATGTATTTAAATTTTAATTAATTACATAAATTATGTAAGCACAAACATTTACAATTATTTTAAAGATTAATGTAATTATTTAATTAAAAAAAAAATTATTTTAAAGGATAATAAAATATAAAAAAATAAAATAAAAGCGTGAATTTGCAATTAATAAAGGAAGCATTAATTAACTCAGACTAGAGTAAAATTTAAAGAAGCTAACATTAATTAATTAATTAATTAATAAATAATAATAAGTAATTATTTAATTAACTAAAAATTAGTAATTAATTAAAATATAATTATAATTATTAACAATAATTAATAAAGATTATTAAATAATCCAGCAGGTTGAAATTACTCCAGGGAATATTCTTATTATCAAAAAACATCAAGTGCTTTTATAATTTATAATTATTATTTGTTTTTTTTTTTTTTTTTTTTTTTTGGTGTACAAAAAGTCAAATAATCTTTAACAAATTATTATAAAAAAATTAATAATTTATAATTTTTTTTTTTTTTTTTTTTTTTTTTTTTTTTAACAATCGACGGCTCTCGTATTTGTTTAATAATTATTTTAATTAATAATATATATTTATATAATTTAAATACACATGTTTTTTTTTTTTATTTTATACACATTATTATTTAATAATAGATAAATTGTACACGGAGATTTATTCGTTGGCGACAGTAGCAATTTTTCTAGATTATATTGAAGAGAAGAAATATTTTTATGAGAATAATTATTTAATCCCACGCGTGTGAAAAAAAGATCTATATAAGATCTATTAATAATCTAATTTTCATTCACATATTTTATTTAACGTGTAATAATAATTAAATTGATTATTAACGGTATACAGTTGTTGATTACAACCATTACAACATTATTAAAACAGCCAACGAAATATTTTATTTATTTTTTCTAATCTTTAAATACCTAACGATCGATTCAATTTTCGTTTTATTTCTTCTCATAAAAAAAAAAAAAAAACAAATAAAAAAAAATTAAATAATTTTTAATTTAACAACTTATTAATTAATTAATTAATTATATTTCTTCTTAAAGCTGTCTAAGAACTCGCGTCCTGTTTTTATATTTCTTCTTTTAGATTTATTTTTTTAAAAACAATTTATTTATTTATTTTAAATGTTTTGACATAAGATATATTTTTCTCATATATTTATTTCTTCAGTTTATTTTTTTTTTTTACGCAACAAACTTTCCTAGCCCTTGTATATATATTTTAATCAACATTAAAGGTACGTGTGTAGTAATATACCCGTGTACGTGTTACAATCATACTCGCGTACATTTAGATTGTTAATACATATAATATAATTAGGGCTGAAAATAAGTATGTGTAGGTACGTACATTCTAGACGCAATTGTGTAATTAGTGTGTGAATGTGTGTAATTAAATCAGCGAGACCCCTAGACCGCCTGTGTAATTTTTTTATAATATATGTCGGTGTTTTTATCATCTTCATTTTAATATTAGTTATAACATATATATATATATATTTAATATTTATATACCTTAAATATTTACTACTTGTTGATGTTTTTTTTTGTTTGTAATTTATATAGATCACAATGTGTCATACCATCTGTGCCAGTAAACAATTTTTTCATTTTATTTCTCTCCTTTGTTATTTTCTCAAATTAATTACATATATTTCCTTACTTATTTCCTTTCTATTTTATATCTCTCGAGCGTCTCTCGGCTTTATATATTTTATTCCATATAATTTATTATTTATCATTATTTTTGAATATATTTTTTGATCCAATTATTATAGTTAGACTTTTTTAAATTATAGTTTTAGAGAATATTATTACATATTATTAGGGCCAAGATTTTTTACTAATTTTGAAATTAATTCATTTTTTTGATAAAAGCTAGAATATTGGTTGTAAAAATAAATTGGTAAAAAATTTAATTTTAATAAAAAAATGTCTTTTTTTTTTTCAAACCAATAATTAAGTTGTAATTTTAACAATTAATATTTTTGTGATTATCAAAAATTTTAAATCAATTTTTGATATTAAAATGTTGGTTGTAAAAATTAATTTTTAAACAAAAGTTCAAAATTTAGTATTCTAAAAATTTATGTCATATTTTTTTTAAACCAATAATTAAGCCGCAATTTAAAAATTAACATTATTATTACTACCAAAAATTTTAAATCTTAATTTTTAATATTAAGGCTAAAACATTGGTCATAAAAAAAAATTTTGAAACAAAAGTTCAAAATTTAATTTCATAAAAAAAATGTCTATTCTTTTAAGCCAATAATTAAGCTGCAATTAAAAAATTAACATTTTTATGGTTATCAAAAATTTTAATTTTTAGTTATAAATATAGTTTTATATTTTTTTTTTTAAAACTAAAAATTAAGCCGCAATTTTAAAATTAATATTGTTATAATTACCAAAAATATAAATTATTTTTTATAAATCTTAATTTTTTATATTAAGGCTAAAATATTGGTCGTAAAAAAATTTTTGAAATGAAATTTTTTCAAAATTAAATTAAAAAAAAATTTGTCTCATTTTTTTTTTTTTAATCAAAAATTAAGCCGCAATTTTAAAATTAATATTTTTATAATTAACAAAAATTTAAATCGTTTATAAATCTTAATTTTTGATATTAAAGTTAAAATTTTTTTTTAAAACCAATAATTAAGCAGTAATTCTTTAATTAAGACTAATAATTAATTATCTAAATTTTTGGTAATTTCAAAAATCTTAATTATAAAATTACAGCTTTTTAATTGATCCTATAAAAAAATGAAGACATTTTTTTTTTTATAAAATTAAATTCTGAACAACATTTTTTATAAAACCAATATTTTAGCTTTTATACAAAAAATTTGACATTAATTGCAATTTACTCAAAAATCTTGGCCACACATATTATTATTTTAAATATATAGCTGAAAATTTTTTACTAGAGAAGATGACCTGTAATTATTAAAATAAATAAACAGGCTCATTTATTTTATTTTATTTTATTACATATTTATTCGTTAATATATAGGACATTTATTTTTGTTCGGAGCCCGGAAGGAATATTTAATAATATGATACCGAAATTAGCAAACATTTTAATTATTAAATATAAAAACTCAAATGTTTTAAACGTCTGCTACTTAAAGTATCATCTTAATTAATTCTGACTAAATATACTCTACTCGCTTCTTCTCAAATTGAAATTTTATACGGTGAGATTTAATAATTATGAAATAACTATCCTAGATAAATTCAGACCAGCCGAAATAGTTGATTTAGAAAAGAACAAATAATTAAAAAAAATTTTAGATAATTGAACATCGCTAAAATATAAATAATTTTACATTATTTTGTTATCGTCTGTTTTTTTATTTATCATTATTATTATATAATAATTAATTAATATTTATTTCAATAATTTGTTGAACTTTTAGAGGTGAGAGTCGACTCTAGGTCTATAAATCAGTACATATATATTTAATTATGCATCACCTCTGTAAATAATATTTCGCACCAGTGCGAAATACAGTAACGCGTTTAATATTCCATTTTAAATAGAAGATAAACGCAAATATTTATTATAATTACTTTGTTTAAAATTTACTTGATTTTTTTTTTTTTTAAATATTTAAATAATTATTTCTTCAATTTATTATTATTATTATTGAATTGATATTAGTACAGCGTTGCAGAATGAAAGCGTATCAAGATTCATGAGCTGGAAAATCAACTCGAACTCGTGTCTTATTCTTCACAAGTGTAAGATTTTTCACGACCTATTTATTTTATTTATTTTTAATTTTTCAGACAATATTTTTTTTTTTTTCCATCAGCACTCAATTATTTTTCCTACGCCACAAAAAAAGACCCAATTGATTGCACAATTTTAATTTTTATTTTTTTTTTACTATTATTACATTACAATAAAACTTAAATATTTTTATTTACACGAAAAGAACAAGATTATACTAGATATAATCCCAGATTATGAGTATAATCTGAATTTTTTTAGCTACTGTCTGAAATTTTTTTCACCACAGATATCACTGAGTATAATCTGGAATGATATCCAGTGTCATCTTGTTTTTTTTTTCGTGTATTTTATTTATTTTTAAACACTCAATAATATTTTCTTTTTTTTTTTTTTCAATTTTGTGCAATCAATTAAGCCTAATGGACACTGGCATTTAATTACAATACAGATATATTTATAATTTCTATATAAATACCTATTATGCATTTAGTATTACATACCTAAGATGCAATGATATTATTCAAATCGGCCGTCGGTCAAATATTATAATTATTACAATTAAATACGCATAAATTGCGTGATTAAATCTCATATATAATAATAATTATATCAATACTTTTCACCTCATAAAGTATTTAGAATTTTTAAATTAAGATTTTTTGTATCCAGTACAAGTACACAGAAAAATTTTTTCTACATATTTTTTTTTTATAGTTTAATTAAATTAAACTCAATATAATTTAACATCATATAAATTACACATTACACAGATTTAAATGTCTAACACTCTTCTACAATAATTTACTTTTCATAATTTTTTAATAATTCTATATAATATTTTTATATAATTATTTTTCATGTGGAATAATTTTTTATCGAGTGGACATTATTATAACGACAGTTACCAAAATAAAATTAAAATTGTTAGTAAATATTATTATTATAATAATATTAATATTAACGAAAATGAAAAATAATAAAATAGACTCTTTAGGAATACAAAGGCTGAGGTGCCCTGTCATCGTTTAGTTACCGTGGCGAAGACAATAACCCCTACCGAATGCAATAATCGAGGTAGAAAAAAAGCCGTTTAATAATATAAAGCAACCGTCGTGTGTCCTTTTAATTATTATTTTTTTTTTTTTAATTAAATGGTGCAATTATTACGACAATAAACAAATAATAATAATAAGGCGCGAATATTAATTTTGTTAGTTGCTTATAAAGAAAGAACAATATTACACTAAATATAATCCCAGATTATTATTATTATTTTTTTTAAAGATATTAGCTCATCCCGACATTATACTCATCGAGACCTTTCATTTGAATACCCACATCAATTTTTCTGATATTTTATATATATATACATGTATATATGAAAAATATATCAAAAATGCATGTGGGTACTCAAATGAAAGGTCTCGATGAGTGGAACATCAAGATGAGTTTATATCTTTAAAAATATCATAAATTGACAAAATACAATATAATTTCATAATTATTGCCATTTTTTGAAGATATAAGGTCACTCTGATGTTACACTCATCAAGACCTTTCATTTGAGTACCCACATCAATTTTTAATATATTTCATATATTTATATATATTATATATATGAATATATGAAAAATATATCAAAAATGCATGTGGGTACTCAAATGAAAGCTCTTGATTTTGATATATTTTTCATATATTCATATATATAATATATATAAATATATGAAATATATTAAAAATTGATGTGGGTACTCAAATGAAAGGTCTCGATGAGTGGAACATCAAGATGAGTTTATATCTTTAAAAATATCATAAATTGACAAAATACAATATAATTTCATAATTATTGCCATTTTTTGAAGATATAAGGTCACTCTGATGTTACACTCATCAAGACCTTTCATTTGAGTACCCACATGCATTTTTGATATATTTTTCATATATACATATATATATAATATATATAAATATGAAAATATACGAAAAATTGATGTGAGTACTCAAATGAAAGGTCTCGATGAGTGTAACATCAGGATGAGCTTAAATCTTTAAAATATATATTATGTATATGTATTTATGGAAAAAAAATATATCATTAAATTATAATCATTGATTATATTAGCTACTATTTAAAATTTTTTTTTCACTCAGTATAATCTGAGATGATATTCAGTATCATCTTGTTCTTTCCATGTACTTACACAATAACTCTGTAATTGTAATTATAAATTCTGAACAATCAAATTCAATTATAACATAACATAACAAAATATTTTTTTTTTTTTATAATTATTTTAAATAATAATTAACATTTTACGTACGTAAGTCTAAAAAATAATCCCATTTTAAATGAAAAAAAAAAAATTACTAGGGCTTTAAGCCAATTAATTCTTATAATTAAAAAATAACATGATTTAGTTTGCTAATTAATTATTAATTAATTAATTAATAACAAAAAAAAATTAATAGTAACTAAAAAATAAATTTATGGGACGAACGACTGTGTACGTGTCTATAGATGTATATATTTAATAAGTGTCGTGTGTTTATATGATGATGACGGTACGACGGCAACGATGACGATGTTTTAATGACGGTGACGACAGCGCCGGCGCGATGATTACGATGATATTGGTGATGATGATGATGTAAATATATATATGCTCTGACAAGTTGGATTTTAATATTAGCGAGAACGAGTTGTAGATGTAGCTGTTTTAGTTTTTAAAGTTGTTGTTGCTGTTGTTGCTGTTATGTTGTTAATAATTCAAATTTTCAAGTTAAGGTATTTAAAACCTTTTTCACTTGATTAAGTTTGAGTCTAAATTCGGATTTGGATTAGGCGAAGAGGCGGAAGTTGGTGATACCTGTTGCCCGGATCCTACGGTACCCTTGCTGTCAGATAATCCAGATGAACCTATTCCAGAGGAGCTATTACCTCCACCACCTTCTTTCATTTTTTCACAGTAATCTGCAAATATATCACGAAACCGCGACCAAGATTTTTCCGGCACAGTTATGGCTGTTCTGAAGTTTGTTTTTACCTAAAAATAAATTATTATTATTATTAATATTTTATAATTTATCGAACGCAATCAATAACAATTAAAAATTAACAACCTTGCAGTCACTATGTGACTGCCGTAACTTGTGAATTATTAATAGATAAAATTTTGTTTTATTAAATAATGACTTTTGTTAAATTGTACTGTACTTTATTAAATATTGACATTTTTAAAGATAAGCTCATCCCGATGTTACACTCATCAAGAGCTTTCATTTGAGTACCCACATCAATTTTTCATATATTTTTCATATATACATATATATAATATATATATAAAATATATGAAAAATCGATGTGAGTACTCAAATGAAAGGTCTCGATGAGTATAATGTCAGGGTGAGCTTATATCTTAAAAAATGTCAATAGTTAACAAGATACAAGGTAATTTCTTAATTATTGACATTTTTAAAGATATTAGCTCATCTTAATATTACACTCATCAAGAGCTTTCATTTGAGTACCCCCATGGCAATTTTTATATATTTTATATACATAGTATTTGTGAAATATATAAATATATAAAATGTATGAAAAATTGATGTGGGTACTCAAATGAAAGGTCTCGATGAGTATAACATCAGGGTGAGCTTATATCTTTAAAAATGTTAATAGTTCACAAAATACAAGGTCATTTCTTAATTATGTATTATTTTCTTAAATATAAATACACTGGCCACAAAATTTTGCTTATTCTATTAATAATATAGATAATAATAAAATTTTTAAGTCATTATTATTATTACTGTCGTTGGTTGTACAAATAATTTAATTATTCATTAAGTTAGTAAAAGAAAATAAAATGACAAAGTAAAAAAAAAAAATAAAGAATAATAAACTAGACTTACTTCGGAAATTCTCATGTAAATACCGCGGTTGTTTTGTCCAATATCGAAATAAAAGTTTTTGTTGTCAACACGCATATAACGACCCTCGGGTAAGTCCCCTTTAAATCCACCGTCATCGACTCCAAATTCTTCCAGGAGGTCCGTCAGCGCGTCACGAAACTCGATCATTCCTTGAGCAGGTATGGCTATTTGTGTCCTTGGACCTCCTCGTGTTATCGTTTGAGATACCTGTTGTGTTTAATAATTGTTGTTACTAATTAATAATTACTCAGATAATTATTAGAAATTTATGTAGTGTGACTTACTCGTAGAAAACGACCACGAGAATTTTCTTTAAGGTCCAAGTAATACCGCCTATTGTCTTTTACCATCATTTCTGATTTAAGTTTTCCATCATCTGGTACATTCTCTGGATTGGGTGGACCTAAATCATCAAAATAATAATTTTTTAATAAATATATTGATGAAAAATTTTTTTTATTACTTAAAATACAATAATAATAATAATAAAATTTTTGATTAAATATTAATTTATTATCTAGTTATTTAAAAAATGACTTCAACTCCTAAAATATTGATTTTATCAAAAAATTATGAGACCAAAATTGTAACTTAGAAAATTTCCTACAAAAATTATTTTTATACTATCAAGCTATCTTTAATATTTTTAAGAGATATAGTAACATAATTATTGTTCATACAATGAATAATAATAATAATAATAATAATAATATCAATAATAATAATAATTTTCCATTTTTTCTATAAATATGGTGAAAATAAATTTTATAAATAAAAATTCAATGAAATATAAAACTCTTTAATTAATAAATAATAATAATAATAATAATAACCCACCTAGCGACGCGTAAAAATCACTGAACGTCGAGAGATGATCACGGAATTCTGACGCTGTACTTAAGGCTAGAAATATTTGACTACGCCTGCCATCTGCTCCGATCTAGATAAAATAAATCACCAAAATATAATGCATTGAATAAACAACCATTTACCTAAAACCATCAAAATTAACATCCTCAAAAAATTACCTCAGCAACTTTGATAAACCTCCCGCGTCTGTTTTGTTTGACATCGAGGTAGAATCGCTTGCTTTGTATTTGCAGCATCTTAGTCGCGAGCTCCTGCTCACTCTGTTGTCCGTGCTGACCTAAAAAGCAAAGATACCAAAATTAATACTTCCTAAAGTAAAGCCCAAAACAATACCATAAAAATTAAAAATAAATTTAAATAAATTAAAAAAATGCCCTAGAAAATAAGTAGACTAAGATTGGTTGGGGTAGGACAGGCATTTCGATAAGGCCAATAGAGTTGGTTGGTAGCGATCAATAACAGCTGCGGCTGGGGTCAATGACCCTCCGGGACCTCTGCACCACCCTCTTGGCCCACTATTTCCTTTGATCCTTCCGTGCCTCCATCTTGCTAATTTACTAGCTCAAAAACTAGCAGAAAAAAAAATACCAACGTACTAATTTGCTGGATCCCTCCAGGAATAGGAACAGGACTGAGATCGCCCTGGAATATCCGACTCTTAAACATCTTAATATTTTTTTACTGACACAAATCGTCCTAGTGATGTTTCACCATCAACATCTAATCCACCGAGTGTTAATCACACTAAAAAGCATCCTCCATATTCAAATTGGTTTTATCTTCCCATCCTGGTGATAATCATCCTGATCATCTGCATAAATCTCCAAAGGCTTCCTCCAATCCATCCGCAGTGGACCCATCAGACATGTTAGCGTCTGGATCCTGGGTCACCATGTCGAGCCAAAGCTAAGCATACTTGTTATTCTTCCTGGCAGGGTCCAGTCAGCCTAGCTCCATTTTTTTACATAACTTCACTCCCCAATTTTTCTTCTTCTTCTTCTTCTCCCTTGTTGATCAATCAATCAATCAATCAATCAATCAATCAATCTATCAATCTCAACAATAAACTTAACTATGTCAAAGAAATAATTGTTGAGTGCATTGATCCAGTGCTGCGCGATTTAGCTGCACCGTGACCTGCCTCAATGACAACTGCATCCCCGAAAAGGGGCTTCGAGAAGAAAGCTCGAAGAGCCACCACAGAGGATTGCATCGCGGATGCGCCGACGCCACCACGCGACAACAAATCCACGAGTCTCCTATCCAACCTAATAACATACATCTTCATTCTATTTTGCCGACTCACTCTATTCGGTTGTATTTTAATCACCCTAATAATAATGGTTATTTACTTAGCTTATAGCTAGTTCAAAAATAATATTTTTGATTATTTTTTGAATCTGAGTTATTAGTGCAAAAGTAATAAAAGATCTTAAATGTTGAGAATTGTGGTTGTAACTGGCTTCTTATTTTGGTTGCTATGATATATTTATTTTTTTTTCTTTTTTTGAGAAATTGAGTTGTTAGTTGAATCAATAACTTTATAAAATTAAAAATTTATAAGGTAAAATACCCAGTTATTGACTTGCAATTTTATTTTAATTAAATAAACAAATCGACTCTAATAAATTAATAAATATTTTTGAATTCTAAATTTGAAGATAATTGGTTTTTTAAGAACAGTTTTTTTTTTTAATTAGAATAAAATTGCAAGTGTCAATCAATTAGGCTAGTGTCAATAACTGGGTCTTTTACCTTATGTTTTATTTAATTTTAACTCATATTTACGTTTATGTATCTACGATTTTAATATGGTTTTTGTAAATCTTATTATATTTTTATTTTTTATTTTATTTTAAGTCGTTTTTTAGCATCTAGGTCATTAACGACTTCTATTTACATCTTCTAATATGTTAGGACATAGTCTATATTTTGTTTAACAATTTAATGTGTTTTAGGAATAAAATTGTCTTGATGCACTGTTTCTGATCATTAAGTAGGACCTTTATATTATTCGAGAGGCCCACTTTGCTTCTTTCTAGTCTGAGGTTATATTTTTCTTTTTTAAATTTGAAATTTACCATTTGGCCTGTGCCTTGGTATTAATAAAATTTGATCAAAATTTATTTGCAATTTACGGTATAAAATTTTAACAATTTTTTCTCATTCAGTTTTACAAAATAGTCTACATTGTCTTTTATATAGTTTTTTAATTGATATGAATTTCAAGTCTACTTTCTGCTCTTATATCACCTGGTAATTATACCAAACTAATGATAGTTTTTTCAGCAATTATTTTTCTCATTCTTTTAATTTTGAACTGTCCAGCTCATAATAAGATTCACAAATTTTTCGTATAAATAATTGAGGTAAACACAACATTTAAATTAACTTTATGAATAAATAGACATGTATTATAATTTTTTGTCTTATCAACGTCCAGTTCAATGTATCCAGCATTGAGTCAATGCAAGTGTATTATTAAAATTCAATAATATACAAACAATAATAACAGCTCCATTCGTAGCCTATAAAAAAAAATTGATTAATTAATTAATTTAATAATAAACTTCACCTTCTGGATGCCAATATTGAATTTTATCCATAGTGTCTTCTCTACAGCCATTGACCATGGAATGAATTTTTCCAGATAATCTATTATTATCCCTCCATATGGTTGTACAACCAACATAAAAATAAACCCCAATATCCGGGTTATTTTTTAAAACTCAGTATCAATACTGCCATTGAATAACAAAACAAAATAAACTAATTCCAATAGCAGAAAATAAATTAAAATTTGACACATTCGCGAAGACGTTAGCGTGAGTACTAATCGAGAGTGATGAAGCGTGGCCGTATAGTATAGTAGTCAGCGCTGACACACCGTGTTTGCAGTACAACACTTACAATAATACAATAATACTTCTCTCTCTCTCTTTACATTGTTATTGTATTTAATTGTCTCGTGTGTTAAGTATCAAGTTAAGCTCTTCACTCCTGTCCGATAAACTGACAGCTCGAGGAGGATAAAACAAACATTAGCTAGTAAAGTTTTATATCTTTTTCTATTTCTTTAAGTAAAAAATGTAATGACCAGGTATGACGTACCGGTCATTCATGGAGTCGATCGTCATGCTTGTGGAATGCGTAGATCAACCGGATCGGCGATTAAGAAGCGCGCGAATCGTCATGCGCTTTCATGTTTCTCGCTTTAGTCTACTGATGTACAGTCGTCTGTCCTCTTGTAGCTCTTGTGAGGCCACGTGACATCAGACTGTTCAAGCCATGTGACCGGAGCCCCCACTTGCCTTTATAGTGACGTCACGGACAGCTGACTATCTGGGATAATTTATTTTACAGATTTTCTTGTATCGGTATTACCGGATCCTGCCTTTTTTTATATATTAATATTAATTAATTAATTAAATTTTTTTAAGGCATTTATTTGTAATTTCTTCAGTGTCCTCCTTTTAAATTTACCAAGCCTATAAAAAAATCAGCTGGGATAAAAATTAATAATTTTAAAATTGTTCAAGTAGTTTTTATTCAAAGAGTTGACGTAGCAGTTGCTAGTGATCCTCTGATGAGTTTCTATTTTAAGAACTCGCAGGAAAAAAATCTAAATTGACATACACTCGGCGCAAACTCACCCAATGACGTTTAACAGTGGGCGCGTTATTCAAATATACCTTTCCAATAATTAATTGTTTTTTTAGCCTTGTAATTCAATGATCGATTTTATTTATCAACTTTTCAATCAACTGTTCTCTTTGATGTTCTCCAGACTTAACTTTTCACTTATTCATAACTTAGTTCTTAATAATTAATTTTAAAATTATTATACTAACATTTAATATTTAGGGTTAATTTTTTTTAACTTACCAGCATCAAAGTCAGCTCCTCCAGCATCCATGCCAGAGTTCCCATACTCTGAAAAAAAAAAAAAAATATTAATAGTCACTTTAAATGTTATACTAAAGATTAGATAAACTATCGGAATATTCTCTTTAAAAATATTGTATAATTATTATAAAAATTTTTTATTATTATTTATCAAGTCCGGACGTATTTTTTTTTTTTTTTTTTTTTTTTAAGATTATGCAAAAAAAAAATACTTTTATTTATTGCAAATTCTTGATCCAACTATGGCATTAAAATTAGCAGTCATTTGACTATTTTTTTATTTTTTTTTAACAAAAAAATTTGTTCTAAAAAATTGCATTTTTAATTTTTTTAAATTTCTAAATTTTTTTAATAAAAAAATTTTTCTGATAAAAAAAAATTGTTTTAAAAAATTGCATTTTTAATTTTTTTTTGCCATAATTAATTTATTTTAAAAAATTCTAAAAATAATCAAAAAACTTGTAAATAAATTTCCAATATCAAACTAAAGTAACCCAATGAAGTAAACTAGGTACATATATAGAAAATTTTCTGCATTAAATCCTAAATATAAATACCGAGAAGCCGTAACAACTGAGATAATAAATATTAAAAAAAAAAAAAGGTTATGTTGTGTTAAATTGTCCGGTCTGGTAGTCATATAATCAAATCGATTACATCATAAGCGAGTTGCTGTACGAAGCTATACTCAAGGAAGCTAAACTCATTTACGACCTTGACAAAACAGTATGACAATGTTTAATACATTGATAATTTATAACAAAGTATCATTGAACAGAACAATATTTTTCCACCGATTAATAATAATAATGACAACAATTATTAAAAAAAAAAAAAAACACCAGGGTGTAATAAATAATAATAAAAAAATGTATGCTAGAGAGCAGAATGGTGCAAAGGAGCATAAAAAGAGATGGACAACAGTCCAAAGATAGAGAGGGCTCTCTCGCCCGAGGTAGCAGCCATCTTGGATCTCGAGTCGTGGAAAATAAAAATTTTTTTTCGGCGTCTGACAGAACGCCACGAGGACCAAAACAATTACCAATCGCGTCGCCATGCCATTAAACAAATACCACAAACTGTCAAAAAAAAAAAAAAAGTAAATAAAAAACAACAATGTCACATTATATTAATTTAAAAAAAAAACAACAAACAGTATGGAATAATCTTGTACTGATAGATATGGATAGTACCAGGATAGTTGCTCCAAAAAAGATGTCGGCAGTGTGTTATATATTTTGGTGACACTCAATCTATTAATCTATCATATGAAAATAGCTCGATAGTTTAAATGATAATGATAACACTAAAGCTAGCCGACATTTTTAATTATTAAATTAAAACTAAAATACTTTTTAAAAAATTGCACTTTAAATTTTTCACAAATGAAAATTTTTTTTAATTATTTTTTTTTATTAAAAAAAAAAAATCTAAACTTAATTTTCATTTGTATACTCGGTCTTACTTTGCGGTTGGTCGTCCAAGCTCTCTCTGTCAGACATGATTGTTCTCAGATTGTCGTACGTTCACCAGCAGCTTTCCTCTTGTCTTGTAACTTCTCCTGAATTTTTTTCCTGAATCTAAAACCAACGTTTCTTCACCTACGTTACCAACGTCACAACACAAGAGGAGCTCCGAAAGAGCTCCCGGCACTTGTCCTCCGCGCTCACCAACTTCGACACCCAGTTCGCTCGCTCCCTCTTTTTCGCTCCCTCTCTGTCCTGGGGGTATCACGCTCTCACTTCTGTCAATCTTATGTGTATGTATATGTATCCACACACGTACACAGCTGCTGTCTGGGTGTATATTTTATTTTATATATTTATTTAATACACACAATATATTTTTTTATATTTAATTAATATAGTTGTGGACGTAGATCACCAACTAAAAAATATTTCCGTGATTATTAATTAATTATTTATCAATAAATAAATAAATAAAAATAGTTTTGATGGCCGCGGATAAGTTACAAGGATACTTACTGGGTTAACGGGATTAAACGACACGATTTGGGAATTATAGGTATAGTAGTATTATATAGACTCGAGCACGGTCGTCCGACCCGCCGACCATCCACGGCACCAAGTCGTCTTGGTGAGCCTCTCTCTCGCCAGCACCACGCTCGTTCTGCTCCGACTCAACTCTAAACTCTCAATTCACGGTTCCTCTGTCGTTTCCTCGACTCTCGACTACTACCCGTAGGCCGTACCGTGGCTGCACAACACACTATACATGTATAAGAGCACCTCTCTTCTCTCTCCATGCACCCACTTCAGACTTTTGTACACTTTATTATTACATACGGCTCTTCTCTGTACTCCAACTACACCAGTACACCAGTACACCAGTACACCAGCTCAGCTTGCCCTTCACCAGTTTTTTGCTACCCCCGTGCCCCGTCGCGGCACACGCAATCAAATACACGACATCCGCAAATTCTACGGCTACAATCCAGCCAATCACGCGAACCGACATACATTTCTGACATTCGTCTGTCTTTTTTTAGTCTGCTGGTGGGTTGATAAGTGCGTCTTTGTTTTTTGCGCGTTATCATTGTACAACAGGGATTTTAGTTTTCGGTTGAAGGTTTGAGCGGGATTTTTGAATGTTTTTGGTACAGGTGGCGCTAGTGTCTTGGGTGATATTTGGTTTGAATTTTTTTCAAGTGACAGCTGTCAGCTGACTTCAGTATGGTAAGTATTTTATTTGTTAATTTAATAATTTGTTTTTGGATTAAGAAGTTAGTAATTTTTGAAAATTTGTCAAGCTAAAGTTTTAATAGTAAGTATTAAATAATATTTTATATTAAATTATGAAAATAAAGTTAGAAGACATCTAAAAATTTTTGATTTTTTTTTATTAAAAAATAAAAAAAAAATTTTCATTTGTTAAAAACTTCAAAAACTATAAGTGCTATTTTTTAAAAATATTTTTTTAGTTATTATTTAATAAATTAAACAAAAAAAATAAAAATGTCGGCTAACTTTATTATTATAAATTAATTTAGTATATATTTAATAATTTTATAACAAATAACTTATGGCAAAAAAAAAATTGACATGTAAAAATTTAAAATGCAATTTTATGAAAATTGATTTGGCAGGTAGTTGATGATTTTAAGAATTTTTTTTTAAGAAGTAAATTGTTACAAAGAAATTGACTTTTAGAAATTTTAAAAAATTAAAAATACAATTTTTTTGAAATATTTTTTTTCTTAAATAAAATGAAAAAATTGTCAAGTTACTGCTAACTTTAATGTCATTGAATATTTTATTTATTAATAATTAATTTTTGGATAAAGAAATTAATAATTTTATAAATTTGTCAATTTAAAGCTTTAATAAGTGAGTATTAAATAATATTTTACATTAAATTATTTAATAAAAATGAAATTAATATAGATATTTTTATTTTTATTATTAAAATCAATAGATATATTAAAATTTCAAGATTTTTATAGCAAACTATTTTGAAAAAAAAAATTCGACTTGTAAAAATTCAGAAAATTTTTCTTAAATTTATTTGTTAGAAAAATTTTCATAAAAATTAATTTAATTATTTATTTATTAAATTTTGATTCTAGAGCAATGATAAAATTAATGTTGATAAAAATTGTTATTGTCTTTAATTAAATTAATTTAAATTAATAAAAAATTGTCGGATTTTTATTAAAAAGGGAAGGAGGTTCTCAATAAAATATTACAAACAATAAAAAAACTTAAGAAACAACATAAAAAAAATGAAATAAAGAAAAAACAACTGTTTATTCGAACCTAATTTTATTATTCTTATTTTTTAAAGCAATAACACGGTCAAGTCCAAATACAATTATGCGTATTTTGTACCCATACATCTAGAGTGTAATCTTACATTGAACGTGACTCAGAAATAATTATGCTCATCGCTTTTAATTTATAAATACACAATAATATAATTCAATTTGGTGTCTTTTTTTTTTTATTTAAACAGATTATTTATTATAAACGATTCGGTACCCAGAAAAATAAAAGTAAACCCCTATTAATTAGGTGGTAGTTAAAAAAATGTATAATTAGGATCGGTTTGTTTTTCTTAATGTCTTTTAAGTGTTCTATTTCTGTTAATTGTCACGTTGATCTTTAGCTCATTTTTTATTGTATTTATTTTCATTTCAAAGATTTTTTTTTTTTTTTTTTTTTTATTTCACGAAAATGGCCGCCACATAATAAGGCACACAATTGATGCAACGCGCACTTTATAATAGCGATATATTACATTTAATATTTAATAATAATGATAATAATAATATTAATAATAACAACTTATAATCATACACATTTCAAAGTTTCAATGCCAATAATTCGATGTGCCACATTTTATATATTTTTTTTAAATAATTGAACATTTGACAACCAATGGCACACTTGCAAATTTATAACTCAAAAAATAATAATAATAATAATTAACATCCATGATAGTAAATAAAAATTAAAGAGTTGATGGCCGCAAATACATTTTTATTACATATACTTTTATTATTTTTACCCTTATTTGAAAGTTTTATTATTTAGGAATAATCATAATATGTGATTGATGAATTATTTACATATTCCTATATGAGGTATGCTTGTTTGTTGACTTCGATATGGGATTTTAATTTTATATCAAGATATGGATTAATACCTATTTATTTTATGACACTGAAGTTGACAGACTTTAGAAATTTTTTATGATATTAAAGTTAGCAGTCACTTGACCATTTTTTAATTTTTTTCCAAAAAATTATTTTTAAAAAATTGCATTTTTTATTTTTGACAATTTCTAAATGTCAATTGTTTTTACCATAATTTATTTGTTACAATAATTCTTTAAATTGTTAAAGATCTGCTAAATTAATTTTCATAATTTTTTATCAACAAATTTAATTAATAAATTCCACATAAAAAAATTAATGAAAATTTTTTTAATTAATAATAATTGTTTTTAATTAAAAAAAAATTTCAAAGCATTTTTTTAATTGAAAATAATTTTTTCAAATTAAAAAAAAATTAACACCTGTCAGCAAACTTCAGTATCATTTAATTTGACAAGAATAAACTCAACAATACCACAGATAAACGGCCTGTAATTCCGAATCAACGCAATTAATTTATTTCCCCTTAACATTTTAATTTTAACTCTGCATAATAATAATCAATAATCGCTCTATATATGTAAGTAATTTTTTTTCTTTATATATAATATGTATATAACATGGTATAACATTTGTTGATCATTCATTCCTAATAAATGTTCATTGTTGTCCCAATAAATATAAATTATTAGCTTTCTCACTGGGCATACAAGCTTAGCCTGGCTATTTGTGACACCGTACACTGTCATACCAGCTATAATAAACTACATCGAACTTATATTACTTCCTTCTGTTTATTTATTTTCTATTTGCGTTTAGTTAAAAGAAAATCTATCAATCAGCATTGAAAACAAGTTAAGAGCTAAATCTATTATCGACTTTTTTTTTTTTTTATAGTTTTTAATGTCTATTTTTATCGCAACAAGAACCCCAATAATCCATAATAGTTAATCGTCAGTAATAATATTATTAATTTTTTTTCGATATTAAAACCTTATCAATTTTTTTTAATTAAAAAATTTTACCGAAAATTTTGCACTCTTTTAATTAATTAACAATAAAAATTATGTAAATTTACTGTTCAAGTACAAGAACTATTAAAAAATATTTAAATCGGACTTTTTCAATAAATTTACATTTAAATTGTTAAAAAAAAATTTTAGCACAAAATTTTCAATAAAAAATTTTAAATTGAAAAAATTGAGGCTTGAATATAAAAAAAAAATTAATATTACAATTATAAAAATGACAAATCTTTAAGATATAACTATTAATAATGATAATAATGACAATAATAATAATAATAATAATAATAATAAATCTATAATGATTATTTTTTTGTGAGCACTCATCAAATCATTCCTGAGCAACGGCCATTTTCTCGTAAAAAATATGCCATGATAACAACTGATGTATTGATACATCTCACCGTTTACTCTTAATTAATAATTAAATGAATATATATCCTTAAAAAATAACATTACTCATAATTAATGACAATGGAGATGATTATTTTAATGATAATATAACAATGCACCGGGCGATATAATATCTGATTAATTATTGTATAATTTTAGTGTAACGCAAAAATTGCTTCAACAATAATACACATTACTTTGGTGTTACTCGCCCTTTGTCTTTATCCGTGACTTAACATTAAAAAAAAAAAGTAAGTAATAAAAATAATGATAACAACGGTATAATAACAACCATAAATAATAAATGACTGACAATAGAACGTAAATTTAATGTGAAATTTTTTTAAACTTTTAGTTATTTATAATATTTGCACCTCTTGAGACTTTAATAACAATGTTGCATTTTTAAAACGCATTGCCTGGCGTATACTATAATAATAATAATAATAATAATAATAATAATTATAATTATAATATACGTCAAAAAATAACAACTTAACAGCTATTTACAAGAAAAAACATTTAATGTGAAAGCTCTCTGATTTATCGCATTGCTCACATGCGTGTTCTTTAATTTCTTATTTATATATATATATATATATATATATATATATATATAGTGTCAGTGGGACGAGCAATGCCCAGTTTAGTAGATTAGTGACCATGATCATTACAGATGATTATATCATAGAGTTGATAAATGTGAGTGTCTAAGGACGGTAATAAGTAAGCTTATTATTGAACAATACAACAAGTAGTCCTGCATGGAATCGGTTTTTCGTGTCGGCCATACCCGTAATTATTAAAACGACCACTGTATAAATTCGAGTTGAAAATCAACGAAGGTGGCTTACCAGTGTAGCAGCTTTCATAAACCTCAATAGCTTCGTCAATGGGTAGTCTTTTTTGTGAATTTTTTTCAAGTCCCTCAGCTTCCCCCAAATTACTCTTGGACTCATTTAGATCACTGATGCCATCCTCGACGCTGGAGATACTCTGAACACTTCCGCGTGCTAGTCTATAATACTTTCTAACAATATCTAAGCTTACTGGATCGACTTTAATGCAAGACTTGCTATCATCTTTTTTCTTCTCACCATCATTATTATCATCATTATTATTAACAACAAACGGTTGTAATTTTTCCGACTCCCAAAATTCGAGCATATCCGGTTCTTCAATACTCCCAATAGAATTAATTCTATCAACCGATTGTCTGAAATTTTCTTCCTTATTATTATTATTATTATTATTATTATTATCATCATCATCATCAATATTATTAATTACAGTAGCACCACAAATAGTAGTGGACAATAATTTACCATCAATAGACACAACAATCTCTCCCTGTTGAAAAGTCTTTACTAAATCAACATTGATCCTCTGAACATCAACCTCAGGACTAGATTCACCATCTAAAACCTCCTTATTATCCATATTAATTATCCGAGAGTTATTGGCAACCCTCATACCCGCATCGCTATCCTTCTCCGTGAATTCGCAAGTACCAATTGGTTCTTTGCAAGAATTATTACCTAGAAGAAGCTTTATAGCATTGGTTTTTTTCTTCCGCTGTTTGGCATTACAAAAAGTCTTCTTGCTTTTACTCCTAGATTTTGCCTTCTTGCTTGCGAATTCGCCGCAGCTAGCCAAACGCAACGACTTAACGTCGTTCGCGTTGCTATTAGCAGATAGTGCAGGCATGGGGTTGCCCTGCAAGTTTTTTGGCGGCTCGCTGTCATCCAACTCGTCGTCCTCCATCTCACTATCTTCATTATTATTATTACTACAATTAACCGTAACAAATAATTCAGGCGAGTTGGCGCGTCTCAGCCACTGAGTAACTGCATCAGTAATTGGATGATTGCTGGAGAACCGAGTCTGGCTTTCAAATCCCGAATCCTCATTGGAGGTGTCAGCATTAAGTTGAGCTTCAATTGCATCGATCCCCATGGGGACTCCCTCAACGTGAGTCTCAAGGTCAGTTTCCAATTCGGAGGTGCTGGGGTGCTCCTCTTCAAAGTGATGATTATTATTATCTGGGCCGGGGGTCGGCTCGCGGACCAATTTTGTACTTTTGTTATTATACTTCTTATTATTTTTAGGCACGTTGTTTTTCGGTAAATTTTCTTTAGCTTTAGCTTTAGCTTTAGCTTTAACTTTAGCTTTAGCTTTAGCATTAGCATTACTGAGTAGCTGGATCACAGGCGTCGTTTCATTTGAGTCATTTGTTCCTGACTTAACAGTACCGTTCGACAGTCGATCACAGTCTTCATTTCCGTTTGGCACAATCGAATCCACCGGATCTTGAATTAGTATACTATAATCCGTGGAATTATCCTCAAGCTTGTCAATAATATCATTGAATTCAGCACAAGTAGCTTCAATTCCAATCTCTGTTTCATGAATTTCATTATTACCATTACCATTAATTTTACCATTAGCGAGGCCATTTTTTTGGGCTGATTCGTTAGCAATAGCCTCCGTTGCGTACTCGATGTTTGTTACAATTGCCGGTGACTCAGTTGGTGTAATTGAATTGCTCTCAGGAGTTGTTGGCTTGCTATTTAATGTCAGATCTATTGAATTTTGTTTTAAATCTGAAGCTACTGATGAATTATTGGATGTTATTGGTGAGCTATTTTTTGCAGGCTTAAACTCAAATTCTTTACAATTTGGGTTCAACGGACGACTGCTAGTAGGAACAAAACTGTTGTTTAGACAAGATGAAACTTGGACTCCATTATTGTCAGCCTCTGAACTATAGTCTTCTTCTTCTTCTTGTCCGCAATTCTCACTGTTATCCTAAAGTTTATAAATAGAGTTACATTAATCACTGGTTTATTTATAATACTTCGAATAGCTTTTTATCTAACTCTAGTTTATCTTTTTAGTATTTATTTTCATCAATGGAACTTACCAGACCAAGAGGTCGTCTTAGTTTTCTCCTGCTCAGTTTCTTCTTTTTTCTGCGTCTGGTAAATGCCGTCGTAGCATTCATTTCGCTCGTCCTCATCATTGGTCCGTTCTGCATTGTCATACCTTTAATTAATAAAATTAAATAAAATTAAAAATACCTATAGTTAGATCTGGTGAATTAATTTTTTTAAAAAATAAAAATGATAGGATAAAATAAAAATAAAAATAAAAATAAAATAAAATTGAAGGTGATTGCAAGACTTAATAAATCTCTAAAGAGTTTTAAAACTCTTCTTTACTATTTTGTTTCTCACTCCCTCTAGTTATTTTTACTGATCTCTATTTAGGAACACAGCAATTCGCGGTTCTTGCCAAGCATAGTTTTCGGCCTCGGATGGCCAATGGAATATTTTAAACATTCAAATGTCGGAATTGAGTGTCGTTATGTTTAAGTCGTATGTCCAAGTCAATGAGCCTGAAATTTTTGCTAATGATTAATATGCAGTGCTAAATAATAGTTCTACAACACTCACTAATTATGACCAACATAAATAATTAAATATAAATAATACAATTATATAATTAAATACAATAATAAGTTAAGACCATAACACGACCCAAATGGACTAAAAGGGCGAATAAATTTTTTTTTTTTTAATTGTTTTATTAACAATTTTTAAGCCTAAAAATAAAAAAATAAATTTCTAAAGCCAAAAAGGCGTTAAATTTTATTTTAGAGTTAAATTTTATAATTTAGAACAAAATTTAAAGTTTTTTTAAACGCCCTTTTGACTTTGCAGTGCCAAAAGGTCATAAAATTTTTTTTCTTTTTTACAAATCACTTTATTAACACTTTTTAAGCCTAAAAATAAATTTTTAAACCCAAAAAGGCATTAAATTTTATATTTCAGTGAAAAATTCAAAGTTTTTTATACGTCATTTTGGCCTTTAGGCTAAACTTTTTTTTAAAGAAAAAAAATTCAACTGAAAAATTAATAATTAATTATAAACGTGATACTGAAAAAATATATTAACCAGATTGATAATAAATACGATAGTATTTTTAGAAAATACAATTGATAAATATTGTTTTTAAATGAATATTAATTTTTTACTTCATCTCTAAAATTGTAATTTTTGAGATACGAGGTTGCGTTAGAAAACCATCGAATGCCCTTTTGGTATTTGGTTCGTGACACATTAGCGAGTTACATAAAAAAAAAAAAACAATAAATAAATAAATAATTAAAAAATTAATGTAAAAAAAAAAAAAACAGTCAATCAGTCTCTGGCGATACAAATAATTTTGATTAGAGTGACAATGTGTTCTCCATTGATATTTATAATAAAAATTATAAATGTATATTGATAAATATAGTAGATATATAAGTATATATTAAAACACATGTGCAATCGTGAATGCACGTGGTGGCATATAGATACAAACTGTATCAAAAACGACAGGTCTCACGTCGACTTGTCGATGACTTTTTTACCTTGACCAAAGTTGAGGTGAGACGGCTATAAAACGGCAAGGACGACGATGAACGGGACAGCAGTTGTGAATCTGGACATACCCCTTTCCCCTTGCATCGCGTCCGCACGTTGCTGCTCTCGTTTAACATTAGAAAGAGGTACAATCAAGCAGATTGGACCGTTTCGACATTGCAACGGGAGAAGGAACGGCCGCGGACGAATTTGTCCATCGCTTGAGCAACGTAAGAATAATTAAACCCGGCCTGTTTATAAACTATCACACATCTTAATTAATCTACAATACAATTCTATTAACAACGAGGTTTACTGTCCTCGTAAGTATAATCAACTTTTTTTACTACTCATTTTTTCAGGCCTGAGCTTTAAAATATTTCAAAAAACCACATCACAATGCAGTAGACCAAATAAATTTATAATAATTAAATTAAAACAAAAAAATATTTTTTAATAATTGCACTTACAGTTTTTAAAGTTTTTTACACGTGCAATTTTTTATTTTTTTTTTTTGTCATCATTTTTTCTTAAAAAAAAAAAATTCTAAAAATTTTTAAATGTCGCCTAACTTAATTTTCATAACAAAACGTTGTAAATTGGAATAAATAAAAGAAAAAACAAATTTATTTGGTCTACTAAATCCCGATTTGATTTTTTAAAATCTTTTTTTAAATTATATTCAACTGAGAAATAATCATTGAACAATTAGAGTAAGTAAATAACGCACATTGCGAAAGCTTGCGGCCGAGTAATACTTCTCGCGTATGCAATGTCTCTTATCGAATTAGTCGTGTGTATTTTTTTTTTTTTTTTTTTCTAAGTGCGCAATCAATAATAACTTATTAATTTAATCTTAAATAAAGTACTTAAACGACTGTTTTATAAATTACGAAATTGATAACAAACCGTTGACATTTATGAGCGCTGGACCAAACATATAGTGACCGGGGTACATGTAAGGTTGTGGTACAGGCGGTCCCACATGTGATACATGTAATTGCTGAGCAAGCACGGTCTCCAGACACGGTTCGTTCGGGAAGCTGCCGTCTACTACCACTGGCTCGTAATTTTGCGGCTCCTGCGGAGGATCTTGAGGTTGATCTTCAGCTGACAAGCTTTGGCTTAGCTGCTGCTCGTCACCGTTTACTGGTTCTTCACCAGCAGTACTTTCGGGCCAACTTGCACTGCCGTTCCCGTTTTCCACTGGCTCGTCGCCGTTAGTGTATTCTGCGGCAGCTGGAGCCACTCCGTTTTCATCGATCGTCGCTGGCAATTGATGATCTACTTGTGGATTCTGTAATTTATTATTACATTTAGTGTTTTAACAAGGTTGTTTAATTTAACATGTTAATAATAAATTGAATAAATAAAAATAAATTTTTAATATAAATAAAAAAAGGCCATTTGGCAGCTATATTAATTTATTAATAGTAATAAATAAATTTTTTAAGAAGAAATATTAAATTAATAACTCAATAGTAAAATTTCATTAAAAATATGGAAAATTTTTGTGTTAGAAATTTATGCAGGTATGTAAATTTAAGTTTATTTTACTGGCTTTAATATAAAATTTAAAGAAACTAAAAAAAAAGTTTTGTTCAAAAATTATTTCGGAGAAATGCACTAAAAAATTTTGAATTTTCAAAAATTTCAAGCATTTTTTAACTAATTAGTCGATTTTCATGAAATTTAAACAAAAAAAAGACTAACTTTTGGGACCAAAAAAATTTTAAAGGAAACAAAAGTTATTTTGAAGTAAAAAAAATTTTTTTTTAGCTCAAAAAACTTTGACTTAACTAAAAAAATGTTCAATCTTTCTTAATATTTATATTTATACTGTTTAAATGATATAATTTTGTATTAGGCTTCGTCAAAATTTAATCTCTGAAAGTAATCTTTTAAAATTGTAATTTTGAGTTCCGCTTTTAGCAGGAGTTAGGTTTGGGCATTTCCTAAGATATTTTGATGTGTCAGAATTTTTTAACAGGAGTTTTGTCTAAGCATTTTTTCTGGAATTAAAAAATTTCAAAATTTGACCAAACGAAGCTCCCGTTAAAAAATTCTGTAAGTATCAAATAAATCGTGACACACAAAAATATATTAGGAAATGCCCAAATACAACTCCTGTTAAAAGCGAAACTCAAAATTCCAATTTTAAAAGGTTGCTCTTGAAGATTAAATTTTGACGCACCCTATTTTGTACATTGCCTATTGGCGTTTGTACTTAATAAATAAATAAATAAATAAATATTTTTTTTGAGCCAAAAAAATTAACACTCCATTCAAGAATATTTTTTTCAATATACTAAAAAATAAATTAACCTGATAATCAACAAGACAGTAATTCTGCTCATATTTCGGCACAAAAGCAGGATTGACCCACTCAATCGGCCGAAGAGGAACCGCCTCGCAGGGCATAGCAGCCAGAAGATTATGCATAGGCGGCCCGGGCATCGGTGGTCCAACGACCATCACCGGGTACTCGTAATAATAACCACTGGCATGGTCATAAAAAGTTCCATAGCTCATCTGGACGGTCTGTTCAGCATTTGATAACTCCTCAAGGCCATTTTCACGGTAGTCGAGCAACTGGGGGTCCTCGGTGGTCTCACTGCCGTCTGCCGGTGTTAATAAATCTATTTAACTTGGATATTTTGTTAGTTAGTACAAATAATTAGCATTTGGGTTACAAACCAGCAGTGGAGTGAGAAGCCGACTGGCTCTCAGTGGTCGAAGGTGTTGCACTGGTGCTGGCATTGTTGCCCGACCAGACTTTTTTGCGAGCCAGGTATCCCTTCTTGAAGAGGACATCCTGCCGAGGAGTTGTAATTCGCGTGTACTCATTCTCGTCGAAGATAATTTTTGGCTGGGATGATCTTGAGGGCGATGTACCACCGGAATTTCGATTAGCCACTCCATTTTCAGTTGTTCCATTCTTTTGATCCGAAGACCTGGAGTGCGACGACTTGTGTGTACTTTGGGTAGTATTTTTTGTGCTGTTTTCTCTGGGCTTGCGTGAAGAATCCTCGTCGTCGTCGTCACCCGGCGGTGCTGATGGACAGTCTGAGAATATAACAGACAAAAAGAAAATAATAATTATACACATATGTCTAAATGGGAGGCGTTAGTTAAAGCTTACGCTTTAATAAAAATAAAAAATAAGAAATAGAATAAAATAGCTAATCTATAAATAAATAAATAAATAAATAAATAAATAAATAAATTTAAAGTTAGAATATAAAATAAAATATAATATAAAATAAAAATAAAAAATAGAATAAAATAGTTGATCTATAAATAAATAAATAATTAAATTAATAAGTAAATGAATTAATGAGTAAATAAATAAATAAATAAATAAATAGTAAATTTAAAGCTAGAATAAAAAATAATAAAATAAAAAAATAATTTTAAAGAATCTCTTTGATAAGAAAGTATGTATGAAGGTTATATTGGATGTTGAAGAACAGTCGTACCGTATTGGTACCTCGCTATTAGAAGAACGTGATGGGCTGAGCCAATCACACGGTTAATTTTCTTCTTTTGTCGCCACTGCATCTTTCACTGGCTAGTTTATTTTTTTTTTTGATTTTATTTAAATAAAAGCTGCTTATTTTACTCAACTCTTATTTTTATGAGTCGTTTTCTGGACAGATACTGGACGACAGTGGGTAGTAGTAGCCAGCGAGTTGAACGGACTTTGCTGAAGAGTAGCATAAAACGTCCAATGAGGAATGACAGGAAGCCGTAAGGGGGTAACGAGTTTTACGATGAGTCTATTACAGCGTTTGTCAATGTATTTGTAACCAAGAAAGAGAGTGTGGCTAAGAAAGTAGAATAGACAAGTTTATAAGCAAGAGTAAGAGTAAGATAAGAGGAATACAATCTGCCGTGGGCAATGCGCGAAACAAGACTAAGCGAGAAGACGTGCTATGCTGAGACTAGAATAGTCCTAGAATGAGAATAGCACACCCGGTGGAGGAACAAACACAGTCTTTCTGACTTAAACTTATTAATCTTCTCGTAGTGGCAATCATCGTGATGATCTTCCGTGGGGAGCACAGTCTGCTTGGTAATTCTCCATTTAGCCGGTTAAAACTGGAAACCGTGGATCCACTGGTCATAGTCATACTCAGACCAACAACACTGTTAAATTATTATTTTTATTTAATTAATTTTTTGTTTGTTAAAAGGTGAACGACCAAACCTGGAGCATAGCACCTAGTCACTAATCATCACTAATTAAAGTGTAATGAAAAGAAGATGAGGTTAGCTGCTGGTAAGAGTACGAATTGGATTTTCACCTAGGGATGACTAGACTGGCTACCGGGTTCCTCAACACACCCTTCTATATCTCATATCTTTTATCATCTCTCTCATTCGTTCGTTGCTCGTTCTTTCGCAACCACCGGCATTATTACACTCGAATATCGAGCAGAAGTGGGAGAAAACTGCGGCTGCGCATCCAAAGAACCCCTTTAGCTCGCCAACTGCCTATAATATCAGAATATAATATATAGTTACAAATAATGATGATAACATGCCAGACAAATCAATTGGATAGACAGTAAAACTCCAGTTGAATTATTTAATACTTTCTTAGAAGGCAATTCTAACGACAAGATGAAAGGCTCTGCACAAGATGTCTGAAGAGTAGTTTTATTTGCATTTCTTCTATTTTGTTCTATACTACTCGACGGACAATTTGGAGCGTCTTAAGACCGTTATAGAACACATTGAGAAGTCACTCGTCGAAAATGGATAGTAGAGTAAATTAGATTTTAATGTGCTGCAATGAATGCCCTTGACGGATTTTACCATCATTGTTATTCACATGTCTTTTTTGTTTAATCGCAAGTTGGGTTCTTGATCCAAACCTAGGATATTACATTCATATAATTCATTAATGTACATTCATTGTTGTACTAAAATAATTATACGTAGAATAATCATTGCTAAGTAAGAAAAAAAAATTGTGCAAGTTTTCTTCATGCACATTGAACAAGTACTCTACGTATAGTTATTCATACAAATACATTTCATACATTATATACATGTATTATTCATACAAATACAATTCATACATACATAACAATTATTACACACATTGATAATACTGCTTACATACTTCATATTCAGCCAAATAGCCGGTACAAAATTATTATTGCTTGTACGCACAGTTATGAATAGCACGTGAACGCGACCACGAGGCTCATCACATGTTCTTCCAACTTTCGGACTATTAATGCGTCACGAGACCGTCCACTAATGATCAAGCACACCCTATTATTATTATTATTATTATTATTATTATTATATGTCCCGCCAGAACAATCAATTTTATGTAATCTTACAATCTTGATTTCTTCTTTAGTAATTAATAATAATTTCTTTAAGTAAAAATAATCTTATTCTTTGGCAATACAAGAATAGATTTTTATTCATGGCCCCCCGTCGGAATAGAAAAATATAAATTAGCAAATGTTACGCAATACTCTCTACGCTGTCTGTGACATTCATAGACATACACCAGTGAGATATTAATGTTCTCGCGCATGTGTGTATACAAAGAAGACATTACTTAAAATTATGTAAAGTGTTTACAATTGATATAGCGAACCAACAAAAGTCCATTGATACTTGTACTCTATATATCTTGATTTATAAATTAATTTGTTATTTAATTAACTATTCTATAAGAGTTTCCCCGTAGTATCCGACTGTAACTAAACCCAACGGTATCGATTCGCCCCCGTGACTCCAGTTTGCTTCGGCCAACGATATTATACATATAAATTTCTATAGATTTATTTATAAAAATAAAAATATTTATGGATTTTTAATTTAAACTGTGAATATTGAAGTATTTATTACATTAATGCAAAGAGACTTGCAAAATAATGTTGCGGTTAAATAATTCATATAGGCCTGTTTAAAAATATTCATTGAAAAAAATTGCTCTATTCAAATTATTTATCTATAGAAATAATGATACTAAAGTTATCCGACGTTTTTAATTATTTGATTTTTTTTTTTAATAATTAAATTAAAACAAAAAAATATTTTTAAAAAATTTCACTTACAGTTTTTTAACTTTTTTACAAGTGACATTTTTTAAAAATTTTTTTGCAGTCATTTTTTTCGATAAAAAAAAATTCTAAAAATTATTAAGTGTCGGCTAACTTAATTTTCATATAGATATATTGATATTAGTTAGCAATCACTTAATAATTTTTTAATTTTATTTGTTCAAAATTATTTTTAAAAAATTGCATTTATAATTTTTTTTTTTTCATTATTTTTGCCATAATTTATTTGTTAAAAAAAAATTATTATATAGAAATTCACTGAAAAATATGAAAATAAAGTTAAGCGAGATTTAAAAATTGTTTTTTTAAAGAATTATTAAAAAAAAATTTTTTTCATTTGTTAAAAACTTGAAAAACTATAAGTGTAATTTTTTAAAAATATTTTTTAGTTACAAATTAATAAATAAAAAAATAAAAAATGTCGGCTAACTTTATTATCTTTTAAAATTGAAATTATTGAAAAAAATTCAAATTTCATGAGTTAATTTTTTTTATAGGCTTAAATGCCTACTAAAGAAGAATAAATACTCTAAAATAATTGGTTATTACTTAAATAGTTAGTTACAAGTAATAATGATCTACCAGAGAGATTGTTATCTTCGTTATCTTTATCAAGAAAATTAAAACTCGTATTTGTTGACATGTATGTAGAAATATGTATGTTTGGCGATCTCAATATTAGATATATGAAATCCATACATAGATGACATTATAAATTACAATAAATACTTAAAAAGCGTATCAGGCGACGTATAGGAGACGAAAAATCCGTTGGGGGGTCGAGAGTTTGGATCGATGTCTCAGCCCGTTGTTCCGGAAGAAATACGAGTAGAGCAGAGAGACAAGGGAACAAGATATGTGATAATAAAGTTTTACACACGATCGAATGTATGTAGAAACTTTAAATACCAATAATAATGATAATAACGTATTGTTGAGCAATGACATCAAGTGTACGACGGTAGTTGGTATTTTTTTTTTCTCAGCAAACGTTTGTACGCTCCTGACTCCCTCTCTCGTGATATTCACGCGGACATGGCAACCGTGAGGAGGCTCTGCTATTGAGGGTTGGAGAATCATCTTCACCAGTGCTGCACTAAGCATGCTCGTTTTAAAAAAGGAGAGGTATCAGGTATTATGGCTAAAAAAAAAAAATGTTAATAAAATTTTCTGAAGAATAAGAATTAATAAAGAGGATAAATCAAAGAAAATTAAATTTTAACACTTAGATGTGGATAATATACTGATGATATATTCAGCAGGTTATATATTACACTCTTCTGACGTAATTTTAACGAGCGAATCGTAAAATTGTGGTATGTTACTCTACACACTGAGAATACTAACGAGCAAGTGGGACACTGTTAATAATCCTAAAGTTAACGAATTAATTTTTACTATTAATTATATAAAATAAAATTTTTAAAAATAAATATTAATAAAGTTAGCCGACATTTTTAATTTATTGATTTTGCTTAATTTATTAAATTAGAAAAAATATTTTTAAAAAATTGCACTTACAGTTTTTCAAATTTTTTACAAGTGACAATTTTTTTTCAATAAAAAAAATTCTAAAAATTTTTAAATGTCGGCTAACTTAACATAAAGTAAATAAATAAATGAAAATAAAGTTAGCCGACATGTAAAAATATTTTTTTATTTGTTAAAAACTTGAAAAATTATAAAAGTGCAATTTTTTAAAAATATTTTTTAATTACAATTTAATAAAATAAAAAATGTCGGCTAATTTTATTATTAAAAATAGGACTTATATATTTATTAAAAAAACTCACCAGCGATGTTCAATGTTCTCCATCGCGTTTTGCGTTTGTAACCTTTGCCCATGTCTCGTGTCGGAGATTGAGACCGGGCTGGTCTCTCTCCTTTGTCACAGGGTCCTTCACGATGAACAGCTTTATCAAGGGAAGATTATTACCAGGGCGGCAGCCCTACGTAGTACGTCATCATAATAATCACACACTATCTTGTTTTAATCATTATTATTTATATATTATTTAAGATTTAAGATTATGTGTATTACGATTGTTATTATTATTATTTAATTAATATTTAATATTTAATGTACCTGTTGTTGTTTAATCTAAATAATTGAGTCAATAATACAAGTTAATTATTTAAACAACGCAGTCGGTTGATTATTACTAAGCTTTCTCGTTCTCCTTTCAACAAAAAATCTGTCTCTATCTAACTAGCCAGTTTGGGTGTCCTCACCAAGTACACCACGGCGACGTTGCAAGCTGTGCACCGTGTTAAGCGAATCGCGATCACATACTAACCTCCCCACCATTCAAGAGATGGCTTCTCCCCACTCAAAATATGCGCGAGCCTAACTTCACATTGTGACGTAACAGTTTCACTTGCTAAATGCTAAATCCCGTATCACAACAATTATCGTATTTGTTTTATCGCGAGGTACATTTGACCTTTTCCTATCACCCCTTCCCGTATTGGTATTGTTGTTATTGGTATTTTTCTTCTTTATAAACTAGAATTATTAATTACGCAATTACGCACTTTTATTTTACACACTATTTTAAATCTTACCCGTCAAATTCCAACGCACGCTCAATGAAAAATGGCGCTGCTTGACAATAATAATTTATATTTAATTCAAACAAATTATGAGGCTGAAAAATTTTTAATTTTTTTTATTAATTAAATTACAACTAAAAAGATATTTATAAAAAATTGCACTTATAGCTTTTCAAGTTTTTTACAGGTGACAATTTTTTTTTTTAATTGTTTAATTGAAAATTTTTCAATAAAAAATTTATAAAAATTTTGAAATGTTGGTTAACTTTATTTTCATGAAATTAATGATACTAAAGTCAGCCGACGTTTTTAATTTTTTTTTTTTTAATAATTAAATTAGAATAAAATAATTTTTTTAAAATTGCAATTACAGTTTTTCAAGTTTTTAACATATGACAATTTTTTTTGCAGTAAAAAATTTTTTTAATTTTTAAATGTCGGCTAACTTAATTTTCATCTGAAGTTAGCAGACACTTGACAATCTTTTGGTTTTGCTTGAAAAATAAATTAACCATAGAAAATTATTTATAATAATCTTATTTATAATTTTTCAGAGCTTCTAAAGATGGAATTTTTCAATAAAATTTTGTTGTTATAATTTGTTTGTTAAAAAAAATTCTAAAAATGATCATAACAAAATGACACTGAAGTTAGCAGACGTCTAAAAATTTTTGATTTTCTTTTTTTTTAATTAAATTACAACTAAAAAGGTATTTATAAAAAATTGCACTTGTAGTTTTTCAAGTTTTTAACATGTGATATTTTTTTTTTTTTTTAATTGTTTAATTGAAATTTTTTCGATAAAATATTTCTAAAAAGTTTGAAATACTTGTGGATTACTCTGCGCATGCGCGAGGTTTCTATGGCAACAATTTTAAATCCCGCAAATAGAATTCCCGCCCGGTGCGACAAAAGCCGGTACAGATTAAAAGTACAGTAAAGTTCAATGTATACTAAGTAATGGAAAATAGATAATAACATCCAGGTATTTGCAAGGTTTCTTTTATATTAAAAATCATTGCTTCACTCTAATAATATCCGTAAGTGTAAGGTTTTATTTATAAAATAATTATTTCTTCATAAAAACTTATTACAGCCCCACAATTTTACAACAAGTTATTCTAACCTAGAAAAAAATTTTTTTTTTTAGGTAAATAAATTTGCAATTAGGAGTAAAAATGCTGAAGATAGTTTCTCTGGGTGACTTTGAAGCACCTGAGGTAAATCATAAGGCTACTGTCGGCTTAATTGGTGATTCTCCAGTGTACTGTGACAGAAATAAGCTAAACGATGAAACTCAGCCGTTTGCTAAGTTTGTACGTAGTTACCCCGAGGTCAACATTACGCCTGACATGCTGGCAACGCGGGAATCTGCACGGACTATCGGAGCTGGTGATTTGTTTTTACCCGTCGAGGACAGTGCTTTGAAAAAAATAGCCAGTGTTTGGCGGGAAAAAGGGTTGACCGAGGCAATACGAGTCGCCGCTGCTGAGGATCCGAGAAGAGTGACAGCAATTGTCCATTGGATCGCCACAAGGTTTGTTTAATAATTTTATTAAAAAATTAATAAAAAACTAACAACCTTGCAGTCACTAGGTGACTACCGTGACTTGTGAACTATAAAAAAATGAAATTTTGCTTTATTAAATAATGAATCGTTAAATTGCACTGTACTTTCTTAAATATTGACATTTTTAAAGATATAAGCTCATCCTGATGTTACACTTATCGAGAGCTTTCATTTGAGTACCCACATGCATTTTTTATATATTTTTCATATATACATATATATAATATATATTTTAAAGATAATAAGCTCATCTTGATGTTGCACTCATCAAAAGCTTTCATTTGAGTACCCACATGTATTTTTCATATATTTTTCTTATATACATATATATCATATATATATAAAAATATATAAAATATATGAAATATATGAAAAATTGATGTGGGTACTCAAATGAAAGGTCTCAATGAATGTAACATCATGATGAGCTTATATCTTAAAAAATGTCAATAATTCACAAGATACAAGGTAATTTCTAAAAAAAAATTAATCTAGCAGATATTTTGTTTGGTAAAAAATTTTTTTTAAACAGTGAAATAACTGTCAAATAACTGTTAACTTATATGTCATAATAATATAAAAAAAAAAACTCCCCAGAATTTCGACGGTCTTGGATTTTATTGAGAGAAAAACGTCATCTTGCGACGGACTACCATCCGTTGGCTCTGGATCAGTCGCTGACATAGCAGCAACCCGGGACTGGAACACAGCGCTGATCAGGTGCCTAGCTTGGCACCCTCACTGCTCCCGACTAGCTCTGGCGACTCGCGACGACCGTATCAGAATCTTCTCCAGCGAAACTCAGAGCGCGGCTGTCCTAAGACACGGTGGTCAAAAGTCAGTCTGCTCGATGAGCTGGCGACCTCACGCAGGTCGCGAATTAGCCGCAGCTTGTTGCGGAGGAGTGCTTGTTTGGACGATCGAGCTCGGAGCGGCCAGTTACTCTCTCAGCCACGCAACATTTCTGCGCCAGAGGAACCATGCTCCGGTTACAGGGGTCGCTTGGCACCCCGAGGGTGATTTATTGGTGTCATGTTCGCCCAACGATCTCAATATTGTAGTTTGGGATGTAGCTAGAGAAACAGGAGTACCCTTGAGAAGACTCGGGGGTGGAGGTCAATGTATTCTTAGATGGTCTTCATGTGGCGCTAAACTTCTTGCTGCCACATGTCGGACAGTTTTCAGGTATGGGAATTTTGGTTGTTATTTTTTCTTCCCTAACATTTTTATTTACACTCAAAAGATTGACTGACAAAAAATAAAAAATAAAATAAACTACCATTAATAATCCACCATTAATAATACATGGGAACTATTTTAGAGAAATGTTTGCTCTTCATTAGCTTGAATGACTCATGCTAATTGGTAATTGTTAAATTAATTGTTCATTTGCTGCATTTATGGTATTGATCTAATTTAATTAGTCTACGCTTGCTATTACGCAAATTGCCACTGGAAATTTTTAAATCTTAAAAAATCAGACGAATCTAACAGTACAAAAATGACTAAAGTCCGTGAATAGATACTTTTGTTATTAACAAAAAACGTTTTGCAAGTAATGCCTTGATTGACTTTAAATTAAATAATTCTTACAAGAATATTTTTCACAAGAGATTAATTTAGTCAATATAATAAAAAAAAATTCAATCTTTTCTGAATCGATTGGTATCATAATATTACCAAAAATGTTAATAAATAATAGCAAAAAAAAATAATTTATTAATGAAAATTTAATATTTAAATTATTTATATTGTCTATCACATTATGGTATTGAAAATGTTTATTATTTTTTGAGAATTTATTGTTTATTTTATTGAAATGTTCATTGTTATTATTTCTGTACGTATACTAAGATAAAAGACCCAGTTATTGACACTGGCCTAGTTATTGACACTTGTAATTTTATTTAAATTAAATAAATCAAATCGACTCTAATAAATTAATAAATATAATTTTTGGATTATAAATTTTAAGATAATTGGTTTTTTGAGAACATTTTATTTTTTTAATTATAATAAAATTGCAAGTGTCAATCATTTTCTGACGTAAGTAATTAATTTTCAGTTTATTGGCTCAATTCATATCTAATATTACAAAAAAATTGTTGCATTAGACTGAATAGCCGATAAACTGAAAATTAATGACTTACATCAGAAAATATTTATCAAGTATTTTAAACCAGTCTTTAGAAAAAATAAATAAAAATAATAATAATAATAATTTTAGAGTTTGGGACACTGGAACTGGAAGACCCTGGACAGCTGAACGATGGACCGTACCTAATGGCCGTGTAGCTGTTGCCTGTTTTGGGCCTCATCAGACACTTTTATTTACATCAACAGAGGACCCGGCCACGCTGTTTTCACTTCCGCTGCAAGACAATATTTTTGATGCACGTGGTGTTACTTCTTTCAGCGATACTAAAGTTGCGATACCACTTATTGATCTTACTAAAATAGCATTCTGTTCGAGAAGTGACGAGGACGATGATAGCGCTAATGGAGAAGAAGTTGTAGGCGGACGTGTTGTAGCCATGGACTGGGATCCATCTGGCAAATATCTCGCAATATTATTTCAAGACAGTCCATTAGTCGCGGTCTTTAAAACATCAGTTGGCACTATTTCACGGGTAACACAAATTACACCAGGTTGTTTAATAAAAGGATTTCCGGGTGAATATCCTAATTGTCTCCAGTTTCATCAATTTTTGGAGGACAGTAGCAAACAAAAAGCATGCTTGACTATCGCCTGGTCCAGCGGTCGCGTTCAACAGTTTCCTATTATTGAAATTTCTGATTCTCCCGTTAAATGCTATTAAAAAATGACATTAAAGTTAGCAGCTTTTTTTTTTATTATTTAATTAAAAATTTTTTCAATAAAAAATTTCTAAAAATTTTAAAATGTCAGCTAACTGTATTTATGAAAATAAAATTAGACAGCTGACAATTTTTAGAATTTTTTTTTATTAATAAAATTATTTAAAAAAAAATTGCACATGTAAAAAATTTGAAAACCTATACGTGCAATTTTTTAAAAATATTTTTTTATTGTTAATTCAATTAATAAAAAAATTTTTCGCTGTCGGATAATTTTAGTTTGATACTTTACTTCATTTTCATATTAAAAAAAATTAATTTAATAATTAAATTGGTAAAAATATTAATTTTAAAGTCAATGTACTACTATGTCAATATACAATTTTATTTTCTACAATTAAATGAATCTAAATATTATTACAAGTTAGTATTGAAAAAATGAAGCTGATATTTAACACTCATACATAAGTACAAGTATGAGTTTATGATAATATACAAGAAAGAACGATATGTCTTCACAACTTGGTGTCTAATTATACAAAGTCACATGCAGAGCGCACGACTTTCTATTTTTACGCCACTTGACCGTAAGCTAAACGTTGACGCGCGTGTTGTACTCCTTAAAATACTAATGTATATCATCTGAAATAGTTTTTTATCTGAGAAATTTTTTCTAGATCGTAACTAGTATAGACATTAACGTTTTTTTGGGTTAATAACTCGCCAAAGATCGTAATATGCGAGATGAATTTTTTTATAATCTTTTTATTTTTATTTTTTAAATTCTTTATATATATATATATACAACATATAAACCATGTTTTTTATATTGCATTCTCACCCGCATGTGTAAAACGATCGGAATCAGTATATTATTTCAACGACGAAGATACACATGCGGAGTCTATGGTGAACGAGGTTGACAGGTGCCTCGACAAAAACGCTGGGACGACCCCGAGTCACTGTAGTAGCGTGTGTGTGTGTGTGTAAAATAATGTAAGCAGAGAGGGCTGGCAGACCACATGTGCTACTCTATCACTTAACTACCCGTAATATGACGTACAACCGTCCGTAGCAAGCAACCATGTGTTCTATTGAACAATCTTGTAAGAACTTGCTCATGTTCACATGTTTTATGGGGGTTGGATGTTGTACTAAGAAGAAATTAAACAAGTGCATAAGACCTATGTATTACTATTATAAAGCTCAAGGGGAAAATTTCATGCTGATGCTACTTTTATATCCTCAGCCCACATATGATTATTTTGTGGTCATTGACGTCTTTTTGAAGTTGTAAGTCGTGGTGACAATATTTTTATTTTTTATACTGAAGTTAATAGACAATAGAAATTTAATTTTTTTTGTTATAGCAATTAAATATGAAAATTAATATTTAATAGTTTTAAAAATTTTATAACAAATAAATTATGGCAAAAAAAAAATTAGAATAAAAAAATTGACATCTAGAAATTTAAAAAAATTAAAAATGCAATTTTTTAAAAATAATTTTTTAGAGTTCATTTAATTTTTAAATAAAATTAAAAATTTGTCAAATGACAACTGACTTTAATTATGAAAATTAAGTTAACCGACACTTGAAAATTTTTGATTTTTTTTTTTAATTAAATAAATTATCAAAATTTTCAAATGTCGGCTAATTTTTCATACTTAAATTTCATGACAATTTTTTAATTTTCTTTAAAAAAATTTGTTCTCAAAAATTATTTTAAAAAAATTGCATTTTTTATTTTATTAAATTTCTACAAGCCCATTTTTTGTCATAATTTATTTATTAAAAAAATTGTTGTGACAGCTAAATTTAATGTCAAAAAAATTATTAGTGTATTTTTAAAAAGCATTTTTTCGTAACTTGTTATAAAAATTAAAAAAATTGACAACTGTTAGCTAACTTCAGATTAAAAATTTTTTTAATAATTAAAATCTAGAAAATTTTTAAAAATAATTTTGTTTTTTTTTTGATTATGTAAGACATTATTTATTAAAAAAACAAAAATAAATTTTCCACTAGCTATTATTAAACTTTCAGTTTTTCTATCAGTTGTTTTTAAAAAATATTTGTTATTCTAAATAAAAATATTTTTATGAAGTAAAAATTTAATTAAAAGATGATACTGAAGTTGACAGTCATTAAAAATTTTTTATAATTTTATAACAATTGAATTATTATAAAAAATTATTAGTAACAATTCTAAAAAACTTTTTTATTATTGTAATTTGTCAGCTAACTTTAATATGATACTTAAAAATTATTATATTAAATAAATAAATAAATTTTGTAGTTAAAAAATTGTTTTACAATTAGATAATTCAGTAGCTTATATTTTTGATTTAACATCTCTTTAAAACTAAAATAAACTCAATAAATTTGTCCTGACACTTTTAAAAAATCTTTTCTTCTTGACGTTTAGAATTAACGTCCATGAATCATCATATGAAATTTTGTTATTACTAAATTTAATGGAGATAAAAAAATAATAAAATTATGTGAGCAGTAAAAAATAATCAGTGATTGGGCAGTTTTATGATAAATATAATATTATTATATATTCTTAATGAATCTTTATAAAATGAATAGAATATAATGTGATTTTTTGTTAAGCCTTTTTTATGTCTCGGTAATCTGGTAGCCGTTAGGCGAATTTATAACACGAATGAATGAAAACGTTGATAAATAAAAATGACAAGTGTAGAATTAGGCATAAGAATAAAAAGAAGGCTATAAAAAGTGATATAAAAACCTTTTGGATGAGTAGAGAGTAATAAGAAACTGTTGTTAATAAGTGACGCGTGTACGACAGCTGCTTTGACATTTTTTTATCCAAGTCTCAAGTGCATTTTTAATTTTCTCGAGTACTCAGTGACGAAAAGGCCGACTTAACTCTGGACTGGACGAGAAAGTCTTGTTATGTCCCCCCTGTGGTTCCAACAAATTTTTACATTTTTTCAGGATTTTCCAAACCTGTCAAAATTTTTAAAAAATAAATAACGGACTAACGCTTCTGTGAGAATCAATCATTATTTATAATTGAATATTAAATTACACACTAATCCACAGTATTTATTTTCTTCATGTCACTAAAAATCCAATGACACTTGACCATTTTTTTTTTATTTTACTAAAATAAATTATTAATATCAACAAAAATGTTATTTATTGTTTTTACATACAGAATTTTTATCAAAATCAATTCAGCAGATATTTAAAAAATTTTGGAACAAATAAATTAATGATAGTGAAGTTAGCTGATGACTGTCAATTTTTTTTTAATTTTTAAAAAATTTATCTCAGTTATAACTTATTCAGTGTCATTTAAATAATGACAAAAAATTGACATTTGATTCCATTTTTTAAAAACAAATCTCTTTATTAAATAAAATAAAAAAATGATCATCAGCTGTTAACTTTAATTTGATAAATTAATTTCTAAAAAAATTATTAAACATCTTTAATTTTAATAACAATATTTTTTTTTCAGGTTAACCTAACCTAGCTTTAAGAAGTAATCTCAGCTCAGCTTCTTTTTGATTAGTATAATAATTAATGAAAATTAATGTATATAGAATATATTTAATAATTTTAAAAATTTTACAAAAAATTAATTATGGCAAAAAAATAAGAAATAAAAATTGATGTCAACATTTAGAAATTTAAAAAACAATTAATGCAATTTTTTAAAAATAATCTTTTTGTTAAATAAAATTAAAAAATTTTCAAGTGACAGCTAACTTTAATGTCATTAATTAATGAAAATTAATTTAGCAGATAGCTAACAAGTTTAAGAATTTTTGTAACAAATACTTTGACAAAAAAAAAAAAAATGGACATTTAGAAATTGTAAAAAATTAAAAATGCAATTTTTAAAAAACAATTTTTTTTGAACAAATTTGTTTGCTGAAGAAAATTGAATAATTATAAAGTGACAGCTAATTTTAATATCATTAATTAATTAATGAAAATTAATTTAACAGATAGCTGACAATTTTTGTAAAAAATTGACATTTAGAAATTATAAATAACTAAAAATGGAATTTTTAAAAAACATTTTTTTGGAACGAATTTTGAATAATAGTCAAGTGACAGCAAACTTTAATATCAATGATTAGAATTACCATAATCGAGCATAATATTATCAAAAATGATAAATAAAAGTCAAGAGATCTATTGGAATTACGTCCTAATACTTAGACTTGAGCTCACAAGAGGACAACGCACTTGAGTCATTAACTTGTAAGCTCCTTGACTTGCAAGAACGATAACTCCAAAAAAACAGCTCGACATTATTATTATTATTATTTTATAAAGCATACAAGTAAAGAGACTGTAGCTGAATATGGAAGAATATAAAGATGACGGATCAGACAGATGTGCGGTAGCACCCTTAGTCCCCTATCTGCTGGTAGCTTGTTGGACCCCTAGTAGAGTTCCAAGTGCATCCAAAGTTCTCCAGCTTCTCGATGGATAACCAGCATCTCGATGGATAGGCCGAGAGCCACGTGAGTGGGCGGCGCAGAGTCTGGTCCTTGGTTCCCTTTGGGCCTTCGAGCTTCTGTCAAGGGCTGGAGGGGATCACGGTCTTAGGATTCGTGATTCGTCTTTTTGATTTATTCTAACGGCGCTCAACTAACTGGCTTATCTCAACTCAGTATACTCGCATCTCTCAGCCAGTGATCATCGTGACAATTTTTGATGACCGAGTGTTTATAAATTAATTTTTAATCAATAATTATTTCATCATGCACGGTGAAAGATTTTTTGACCACAAGCTAGACCTCGGAAGAATATCAGTGATGGAAAGTGAAGAAGACTTTGACCGGAGCTTTGAATTAATTCCCAACACTCCAACAGCACTTGACGGATTTTCCTGGAGCATGTCTTCGCCGATGTCCACCTCCAGCCCGGCTGGCAACGACTGGGACCACATTACCTCTAACAATATTAATATCTTCGAGTACCCGCCGAGCAGTCGCGCAACTGCACTGACCATTGGAATAAACTCACCTGGCAGCACTGGCAGTGAAGTAAACACCCCCACATCTTGGACCGGGGATCAACACTTCCCTGGAAGTGAGTACGGTGAACTCTCCAATGATGGAAATGCCTGGGGGAATAATAGGTTACCCTCTGTTAGCTCCGCGTTTTCATTTTCAAGGAATTTTTCAAACGGCAATCACTTTTATGATGAAGATCATAACTATCATGACTTCAAGGGACATCAGGGATTTCAGGATACTTATGAGGAAGTACCAGCTTCAATTCCTCTTGGACCGGGATACTTTGAGGAGCAGGAGTTTAATAGTCTTCAGGCTGTTGATGAGTTTGATCTGAGTTTTATTCGCGGAGATCCCACTAGGCTGGTACCTGAGACTTCCAATGTGTTATCTTCTTTTAGAAATGCTAGGAATAATGATAATAATAATGGGATTAATGATAATAATGCGGGTGGCAACTCTATCGGGCATTGTCCGATTGGACACTTGATTGAAAATAAAACTACTAATAATAATCTGATGAGCTTCAAATCTCAGGAAGATTCTAATCATGTTATTATCACACAGAATGAAGGATTGATTATTGATAAACGAAATAATCAAAATAATGGTATGTATTTTTAGAATTTTTTTTAATTTTTAGTAAAATTTATTTTATAAATTTTTAATAAAATTTATTTTATAAATTTTGAGTTAATAATTTATTAATATACACGGAAAGAACAAGATGACACTGGATATCATCCCAGATTATACTCAGTGATATCTGTGGTGAAAAAAAATTTCAAATAGTAGTTATTTAAAAAAAAAAAAAAAAAAAAATCCAGATTATACTGCGTGATATCTGGATTATACTCATTGTTATCTAGATTATACTAGCTATTATCTGAATTTTTTTTTCACTCAACATAATCTGGGATGATATCTTGTGTGTCATCTTGTTCTTTCCGTGTATAAATTTTCAATAAATTTTATTTTACATTTTTTTAATAAAATTTATTTCATAAATTTTGAGTTAATAATTTATTAATAAATAAATTAATTTTTTATAAAATTTTTAATTAATAATTTATTGTCACTTTTTCAGGTAAAAGGCTCCAGTGTCTTTGGATCAACTGTGGCTATGTTTTTAACAATCTTGACGGTCTTGTCAAGCATATCGAGAAGCTACACGTTGAATCCTCTGCTAATAATGGCCACGGAGGAAGAAGATCGCAGAAAGATAAGGACAAGGAAATTGGTAACTCCAATGACCAATTTGCATGTATGTGGCAAGGATGTCCCAGAGTGGGACCATTCAACGCCAGGTACAAGCTTCTTATCCACATGAGGGTCCACAGTGGTGAAAAACCAAACAAGTGTCCTGTAAGTATTAATTTTTTATAAAAAAAAATTTTTTTTAATTATTTAAACACTAATAATGATTTATTTTAAAGTTTGAAGGATGCAAAAAAGCGTTCTCACGGCTGGAAAATTTGAAAATCCACCAGAGATCTCACACCGGCGAGCGGCCGTACTCTTGCCAGCATGTCGGGTGCACCAAAGCGTTCAGCAACAGCAGCGACAGAGCTAAACACCAGCGGACTCATATCGACACGGTAAAAATTTTTCTTGAATTAAATTAATTATTTTTGTAATTAATTTGAAATTTTAAAAAAGTGTTGAGAGTTAATATTGATTGTAGCTTTAAAGTTGGAACATATGTTTGTTTTGAGGAAAGGAAAAGTCCCAAAGGGCCCATGTCAAATTTAATTTTTCACGTCTTGCATGTCAGAAAATTTCTCACAGTAAAAAAGTAATTTTTTTTAAAAGAAATTTTATTGTTATTGTTATAAAAATAAGACATTTAATTAATTAAAAAAAATAATACTAAAATTAAGAGACAGCTGATAATAATTTTTAAAAATTTTTTAACAAATAAATTATAGCAAAAAAAAATTTATTTAGAAGCTTTAAAAAATTATAAATAAAATTTTTTTAAAATGATTTTTTAGACCTTATTTATTTTTCAAAAAAAAAAAAATATTAAGTGTCTGTTAATTTTATTATTATAAAAAAAAAAAAATTACTTTTTCAATGAATATTTTTATCTGGAAAAAGAAAAGCATGTCAGAAAATAATTACGGAAATGATAAATTATATAAAAACAAAAATATAATTACAAGAGTTTTATTTATTTTATAACTGTAATTAAATATAATATTAATCACGCAATGTATAAAACTAGTAATGATATTTAATCTGATATTTTTGTATTACAAACAGAAACCGTACGCTTGTCAAGTAACTGGATGCGGAAAAAGATACACCGATCCATCGAGCCTTCGTAAGCACGTGAAAAATCACACCGAGACACCTGCAGTAGTATCAACTCCCCAATCGTTTACAAATTCGAGCCCAAACCCACCCATTCCTAAAATCGACTGTCAAAAGACGAAAATTGACAACACCTGGGGCCTAGATGGCTTTGAGGATGAACCGGAATTCGTGCCATTTGAAACAGTCGGAAGACTACTCGGCGAGGAAGAAAATTGCATCACTCTGGACAGCTTAGGTAATTTAAAATCAAATGAAAAAAATTTTTTAATTTAAAATTACCCTCATGTGCACCATAAATATGTCTATTTTTATTTACATAAATATGTCTATTTTTATTTACTCTGTAATAATAATAATACGATTACTTACTCCAATCTCAGAGGAGGTTCGCTCGCGACATGCTCACTTACCACACACCGAGTCTTAAAATAATATTCATTACTTTTTTGGACTTGATGTGTTTCATAGTTTTTTTATTTTTTTTTTTTTTTTTTATATATTTATACACTTTTTAATTTTAACTCTACAAACGCACGCGCCAGTTTAGATACAAGATTGTATCACAGTAACCACGTGTGTCGCACGCGCTCGTATGATTAATCTACTTAAGTTCATTGTCTTAATTTTATCAAGACATTTATATTGTTCCTAACTTTTTATCAAACTTACACTATCAATATCTAATCAATTAATTTTTTTTTTCAGCTTACGATAACGGAATTGAGTGTCAAGATCTAGATCCTGAGATCGAGAAACAATTTTTAGATCTCAGTAGCTTTACAACAGACTTTATAGATTAATAATTAATCATTTCTTCCTTAATAATCTACATTAACATTCAATATTGTAATTATTATTTTTAATTAATTAATTAATAATTATTAAAAAAAAAAAAAATATAATTAAGCTTAGATTTAAGTTTGATTTTAAAAAACATTTAAATATTTGTAAATTGCATAATTCCATTTTTTATACTCTTATACATAAATAATTTTAAAAATCATTTATTTTTGTACATAAAAATGTATATATTGATTTATATAGATATATAAACTTGAATAAAAAAAATAATAAAAAATTTTTGTGGTTACTGCCCGCATGTTGGAGGCTTCACATCTGACGGCAAATTATTACAGATTAATTTTTTGAACTGGGTTAGTGCCATCAATTGATTTTCTCCTGTAAACTTGTCATTTATGACAATAGTTGGTACGAAGGATAATTGCGGTCTGAGACTGTGTGTCATCTCCCCGTAATTGGCAAGCAAATTATCGCCCGTAACGTCGCTCTCGCATTTATTCAATAATTCTTGGGTTGAGCTTTTCAGTCCCACTGAAACTGCACACTAAAAAAAATAAATAATAATTATTAATAAATAATAAACAGTAAGTTTTATTTCTCAATAAGATAAAATTATACAATGTAATAAATAATCATAGAGAGGTAATTAATTACTACAAACCTGTTGAGCATTAGAAGAAGGATCGTCGCTAGACATTGCGCAACCGACAAATCTAACCGAGAGATCTTGCTGGTCTTCGGTTTTTTCTTCGGATTTAATCGCATATAATCCACAGGCCTGGGCTTTGTTTCCTTTACATTCCGGTGGTCCGTGTTGACATGAAAAGTTCCATCCACCTGTAGCTTGATCACGTTCATGCTAAAAAAATTTTTAATTATTTTTTTTTTTAGTATTTATTTTATTTAATTAAAAGACATCTTAGAATTTTTAGAAATTTTTTAATTAACAAATTATAGCAAAAAAAATTTAATTTTTAAAAATTCTATCATTAGAAACTCTTAAAAATTATGAAAAATTTTTTAAGTAATAAATTATATTTAAAAAAAAATTTATTTACAAAATTTTATTATTAGAAGCTCTAAAAAAATTGATATTTTTAATTTTTCAATTGTTTTATTTACTAAATTAGTATTAAAAAATTGCACTTGTAATTTTTTTATTTTTTTTATAAGTAAAAATTTTTAGACTAATTTAATTAAAAAATAATAAATAGATTTATTAATAAAATAATTTTCTAGACCTAGATTAATTATTAAAAAATGTAAAAAATTAATCAACTATTTGCCAATTTCAATGTCACATTTAATTACTAATTAAAATAAAAAAATAAAATTACCGAAGCCTTGCCGTAGGGAACGAAGGTAATATCCAAGTAGTCTTTCAGCTCCGCATAAGTAGGCACCAAAGATCCTTTTATGAATCTCAAGCTATCACCACAGAGAGATTCGTAGTAAACTGTGACTCCTACACATGCTTTTTGTGAGCATCCCGAAGTGACCTATAATAAAATTTAGTAATTAAAATTTTTGCAACCAATTAAAGTGTAAAAATATACTCACGGAAAAATAAGCAAGAGCAAAAGTAGCCACGAATACGCTCGATATTGACGAGTGCATGATTACAGCAATTCTTGATATGAGAAGAACAACCTGTGATCGATGTAGAACCTCTCGACACTTTCTCTCGTGTGGTTTTGCTCTGCCGTAGTTTCTTTTTTTTATGCTGATTATAGTGGGAGAAGGTGAGCTAAAACTTGGAAGGGATAAACTTAGAGAGGGAAAAAAAAATGAGATAACCACCGCTTTGGTTCACTCAAGGTTCATTGTTCAAGTATAGATTGGATGATTAATGGTCCTCAGACAGACCGGTTTTTTTTCTTGATCAAATTTCGCCTTATTCTCTATTTAAATAAAATAAACTATCACGTGTTAATATAAATCAATATTTAAAAATTAGATAAACTATCTGATAAAAGATGAATCGTAATATAAACCTGATTATAATCAACCACCTGATTAAAATATTTATAGTAATTGTTAAAAATATTTATTGACAAACTAGCAAAATATTAAATATTTAAAAATTAACGACATTAAAGTTAGCAGTCACTTAACAATTTTTTAATTTTTTTTAACAAAAAAAATTTGTTCTAAAAAATTATTTTTAAAAAATTGCATTTTTAATTTATTAAAATTTCTACAAGTCCATTTTTTTAATAATTTTTTTTTTTTTACCATAATTACATGGCAAATTCATTGAAAATTAATTTCTACAATTAAATATAATACAGATTTATTTACACATCGATACCTTGCCCGAACTCGATTTGCTTTTGGACTTTTTTAAGCTCTTTGTGAAGCACGAGCGCCCGTTCTTTAAACAACTCTGCAAGAGATTCGTTTTTTTCGGCGCCTTCGCCTCGCGCGTGCATCTGCGAGAGATTAGCACACGCGTAAGGGTTCCCCGCCTCGCAAGACTTTATAGACAATTTGTAAGCTTCTGTCAGATTTGGCTCCACGTCGTCCTTGAGACCGCCCAGGAAAATCCCGGAGAGATAGAAGCAACCCTCATCTCTGTCGTGCTCGAAGCACCCTTTTGAGAGCATCTTCATCCCCAGGGCCACTTGCTCCGCTCGGTTGTCCAGGAATTTATATCTCGGGCTTGTTGCTAATAGACCCGCTTTTACGCACCCGATCCCGTCACCCAGCTCGCAGCCTTTTCTCATGTATTTAAAACACTCTTCCATGTTTTGCTCGCAACCTCTACCTGAACAAAATAATGATTTTTTTTATTAATTGTTTAATTGAAATTTTTCTTAATAAAAAATTTTGAAATTTTAACTAACTTGATTTTCATGAAAAATATTTTATTAAAAGCCAAATATTTTTATAAAATAATCATTTAATTAATTAAAAAATATTTTTAAAAAATTGCACTTATAGTTTTTCAAGTTTTCAACAAATGAAAAAAATTTTTTTAACAATTTTTTAATAAAAAAAATTATATAAATTTTTAGATGTCGGCTAACTTTATTTTCATAATTTTTTACACTACAATTAAAAGACATCTGATAATTTTTATAAAATAAAAATATATCAAATATATCATACTTATTTTAATAATTGATTGTAAAGAAAAAATTCTAAAAATCGTCAGATGATGAATTGATTATTAATAATTAACATAATAAATACAGCCAGAAATTTTTAATATATTGAGTCATATTTTGTTTACATGCATTTAAATAAATATTATTAACTTTTAATAAATCAAATAAATTAATAAATCATATGTAATAAAGCAGTATTAAAAATTACTATTTTAATAAATGATGTTTGACACTTATTAATGACGTCTGACATTTTTATTTTTAAATTTAAATATGTACACCTCAAAAAACAAATTTTTTTTATTTTTAAATTAAAACAAAAAATTATATTTACTGTCTAATTTTTTTAATAAAAAAATAAAAATATCTTCCTTACCAACACCAACATATCCGCCGTATTTAGCGCAACTTCTCGGCCAATTTCTCTCATCGCAATTACTTTTAAAAGTCTCAGCAGCTTTCTCAAAATCTCGAGTTATACCTTCTAAATAATCACCCAGAAGATGACAAGCTAAAGAAAATAATTTTAATAATAAATAAAAAATCAAAATAATAATTACAAAAAATGATGACATACCATTTGGATTTTTTTCACTTTCACACCCGAATCTATACTCGGTATAAATATTCTTCAAGTACGCCTCGACGTCTTCCGCGTTTTTAAAATTAAATGCCATAATAAATAATTATATTTTTAATTGAATACTTAAATAATTATTTATAAATCTCGGATATAACCTCTCTGTCAACAACAACTCTCGTGGGTTTCAGAAAAAAATTCATAACTGACTAGAACCTAGAAATCTTCCTTACCGATTGCGCAGGCGTTTGAAAATGGAGCATGCGCGTGACAGTTAAAAAAAACGTGCGCATGTATTAAACAGTTGCATGATAGTGATAGAGTAGGAGGATTTAACACAATAATAAAGGATAGTTTTAGTTTGTATGCTACTGTCAGTGCAGTTTTGCTCCACTTAATTCTTTAGAAACAAACGTTGCCGCTGAATAATTGATCCCTTTTAATTTTACAATTATTGCATATACAATGCAATCAACTCAGAGTTCATCGAATTTTACGGTAAATTTATTATTTCTATTCATAAATAAAACCGTAAAATTTTTTTAGTTATTTCTCCTTTTAAAAATAGTTTTTTAAAAACAATTTTACATTAATATTAATGAAAATTTATTGTTCCAGGATAATTTATTAATGAGCAATAATTACAAAAGAGACAATGGACTAATATTTGAAAAGTGATGTACTTATTAAAATATATTTAGGTCATAACTCCTGCACAAAGACTCGGTCACGCGGTCGTCGCGTTCTATCTACCCTCTGTATCTGATAAAATAACAACGTGAGTAAATAGTTTAAAATATTGAAACACTAAAATTATTTTAAGTACTTACTTACCCTTTTTGTTAAGTTGAGATGAAAATTAAATCAGCTGACATTAAAGTTAGCTGTCACTTGACAATTTTTTAATTTTATTTAACAATTAAATTTATTGTAAAAAATTATTTTTAAAAAATTGCAATTTTTATTTTTTTAAATTTCTAAATGTCATTTTTTTTTCTTATTTTTTTTCTTTATATCTGTTAAATTAATTTTTTATTATAAAATTGCATTTTTTATTATGAAAATAAAGTTAGCCGACATCTGAAAAATTTTATGATTTTTTATATTAAAGAATTATAACAAAACAATTTTTTTTATTTGTTAAAAACTTCAAAAACTACAAGTGTAATTTTTAAAAAATATTTTTTAGTTATAATTTAATAAGTTAAGCAAAATAAAAAAATTAAAAATGTCGGCTAACTATTATTATTTTTTATTTCTTAAAATTTCTACGTCAATTTTTTTTTGCTATAAAATTAATTTTTAAAATTATTAAATATATGCTAAATTAATTTTCATGACATATATTTTTAAAAATAATTTTTATCAATAAAAATATTCTAAAAATTTTCAATTTTTAAAAAATATTTTTTTATTTAATTTTTATTAATTAAAAAAATCAAAAATAAAAAAATGCCTGCTAATTTTCACTTAATTAAGCACAAAACACTTGCAGGTAAATATTTCTTCTTTATTTTTCTTCCTGGATTGTGACTCCCGCTTTGAAGCTAGGCCAGCAGTTCACTTGAGCGGCTGAGTAGTTCAAGGTCAACCAACGAACCCAAAATATTAAATCAATTGTTGATGTCACTAACTTAATTAATTAAATGGATAAATAATATTTAATTAAATTGATATTCTGAGTACTTATATTACTTATATTAATATTTCAGATGAGTGAGTCAGTGAAGGTAGCGGTGAGATGTAGGCCAATGTCTCAAAAAGAGCTGTCAGCGGGGTGTCAGGTAAATGAGATGTCAAATATGACAAGTGTTTTTGTAGTGTCATATGTATTGAGGCAAATTTTTGCCCAATAACTTTTGTAAATAATTATAGATAAATCGTCGTCGCTATCGAGCGGTGTAACCTAGCGACCTAATGGTCAAAACACGCAAATGTGTTGTTATGTTATGAAGAACGGCGCTGCATTTTTATCTGTTGTCATTAACTATATTGTACGCTGTATATGCTTCCTGTAAACTCTGTTTACAGTCGCAAGATAAGATAGTTTAATTTATTTATTAAGTCAGTTTACTTATTGTGAAAATTAAAAAAAAATTTGAGGTTAGTTTCAAAAATTTTTAAAAATAATTTTTTTTTAAGTTTAATATAATTATAAAAAATTTAATGACATTAAAGTTAGCAGTTGATAATTTTTTAATTTTATTTCACAAATAAATCTTAATTGAAAAACGCAAAATTTTTAAAAAATTGCATTAATAATTTTTAAAAATTTCTACATGTCAATTTTTTTTTTTTTTCATTTATTTTTGCTATAATTAATTTGTTAAAATAATTTAAAAAATAAATAAATATTGGCTGGATACAGTTTTTCAAATTTTTCACAATTAAAATTCTTAAAAAAAAATTTTTTTGTAATGATTTTTTCAATCTTAAGAAAAATTCTAAAAATTTTTAAATATCGGCTAACTTTATTGTCATAAATTATCTTCAAGTATTAGTTACTTTTTACACTGTAAATTATCTTATGAATGTGACATTAATGTTAATGACGATGATGCAAAAGAATCAGTGAATAAAAAGCATTAAATTAAATAAAAATCAGTAAGTGCAAGGGCGAGGGCATAGCAAGAAGATAGCAACAACATCAGATCCAAGTCCAGTAAAATAATTACATGAGATATAAATATACAAATATCAATCTTACAATATACTTACAGATAGATGTATCTGTGTATCAGCAGCACATCAAAGTGCAGAGAATGGAGCACAAATTGTATCAGAGTCAGAGGAGGACGGATATTATCGTTGGCAACGCATAGGCCAGGATTGTTCAGACGCTCGGTGGAGTGAGGAGAATCACCAGCAGTATGAGAACTGAGAAGAGAGGGAATGGAAGTTAAAGCAAAAGAAGACTAGTACAGTTGCCAGCTGGTTGCCGATTAGTGTGTGTCGTTTGTTTAATGTTTATGCTGATAAAGTCATGAGCATACCACATGTACACCGGGAATTCATTATTAATTGAGTTTGTTGTTTTTCATTGACAAATCTACTTAATAATTAATTAATTAATTAATTAATTAATTCCAATGAAATAAATTAATTAATTAAAAATGTCGTCGGTATTTTCAAAGCTGATAAATAAAACATCACAAACATGCGGGATAAGACAGGAGACACTTACTCGTGGTGTTGTTGGTGTTGTCACCACACTCTACTTGCTCAAGCTGACTTATCCTCACATTGTAAGAGTCAAGCGCAAATTGGAGACCAACAACAATGACAGCAGCAGTAATAATAACAAGACAAAGGAAAATGGAGTGGACAACAAATGCAAGAATAAAAAGTGCTGCAAGAGCAGCAAGCTCGTTAAAAATAAACAGAGCAACGCGGGCCTGGACAAAGCCTTCCTCAGACAGTTGATCCAGTTGCTGAGGATAATGGTACCTGGTTGGAGATCCAAGGAAGCAGGACTCCTGACCTGTGCGACGATCACTCTTCTTGCTCGCACCTTCCTATCTGTCTACGTAGCCACGCTCGAAGGCCAGATAGTCAAGAGAATTGTCCTGAAAGACGTCCGTGGATTCTTTCTCATGCTGGCTCGCTGGTTCGCCATCGCCTTTCCTGCCACCTTTGTCAACTCCGCTATCCGGTATCTTGAAGGCAGACTTGCACTTTCTTTCAGGTGAGATTTGTTTTTGTTTTTTATTTTAATTTATGTTTGCTTTTGTGAGTCACTGTGTTTGTTATGATGATGATGGTTTTGTTGCAGAGAAAGACTGGTGCAGTACGCGTACAAAATGTACTTGAGTCAGCAGACTTATTACAGAGTCTCCGCTCTGGACAATCGACTGGGTGGTGCTGAACAAAGACTGACTGATGATTTATCCGAATTAGCGAGCTCCGTCGCGCATTTGTACTCGAGTTTGACCAAGCCGCTGCTTGATTGTGCGCTTGTCGGGATCGCGCTTATGTCATTCTCATCGCGCATGGGTGCTAGAACTGTTCCAGGTAATTAGTTTGGGAAAAAAACAAAATTGTTTTGTTGGTATTCACTTTTTGAACACTAATTAAGAGTATATCTTCTGAAATATTCAAGATAGTCCTGGAGTATAAAAAGGTTTTTTGGAGGAAATTTAATAAGCTACAAATTTTCCCAAAAAAATTGATATTTTAAGAGTTTCGGAGCACTACTTACATATTAAGTTATATCTTCTAAAATATCGAAGATAGATTCGTAGTATAAAAACATTTTTTGTAGGAAATTTTATGAGCTACAATTTTAGATTCTAACAACTTTTCACAAAAATTATTCACAATAATATTCAGGAGTTATAGTAAATTTTATAGTGACTAGGTGATTTTTCATTTTTTCACTTTTTGAGCATTAATTAAGTTACTATATCTTTTAAAATAATTAAAATAGACCCATGGTATAAAAACATTTTTTGTAGAAAACTCTATAAGCAACAATTTTAATCTTATAATTGCTTGATAAAATTGATATTTTAAAAGTTACACCCATTTTTATAGTGACTAAATGATGATTTTTGATTATCCACTTTTTGAGCACTAATTAAGTTACTAGATCTTCTAAAATAATGAAGATAGCTCCATAGTATAAAAACATTTTTTGTAGGAAATTTTATAAGCAACAATTTTGGTTTCATAATTTTTTTTCTAAAATTAATACTTTAGAAATTACAGCCATTTTTAAACTAACTAGATAATAATTTGATATTTTATTTAAAAGTTTATTTTAAAGTTTAAACAAAATAATAATAATAATAATAATAATGAGATTATCAGTATAATTTACATTTATAAATGTGTTATGCAAAAATAATCATTAAATCTTGGAACTTGTAAAATGAAATTTTTTATCACTTAAACATTAACACATTACTCATTTATCCATTAACAAAAACATATTTATCTTATCACTGTAATTTAATATCTTTAGCTCACGACTGAGTTACTATTATTAAAGAAAATAAAAAACCATGACGCACTAATGAGTTTAAAAAACTCATCGCTTAATTACAATAATAACAATCACAATAAGTAATATATTCTTTTGTTGTTGGTAAAATCTTTTAGCTAATACAATGTTTTTTTATTTTATTTAATAGGTCCATTACTGGCAGCAGTTGTTATTGCGGTAACCGGGCAAGTACTCCGGCTTACATCACCGCGATTTGGTCACCTAGTTGCCGAAGAAGCCTCACGTCGTGGACGACTACGTGAAGCGCACGCTCGTATTAGTGCTCACGCCGAGGAGATTGCATTTTATGGCGGTCATAATACCGAGCATCGTTATTTAAGCACCGCATACAGATCGCTGACTGTCCATTTGAGGAAAGTTTTGGCGATGAAATTATGGTACATTATGTTGGAGCAATTTTTAATGAAGTATGTATGGTCGGGGACTGGTCTCTTGGTAATTGCAATGCCGTTACTCTATACGACGATTAAATCGCCCAACAATAGAGACTCTGACGGTATGTTTTTTACAATTAATTATAAACATACACTCTTACATAAATACATAAAATGCTCTATAGATACATAATTAAGAAATGACCTTGTATTTTGTGAACTATTGACATTTTTAAAGGTATAAGCTCATCCAGATGTTATACTCATCGAGACCTTTCATTTGAGTCCCCACATAAATTTTTCATATATTTCTTATATTTATATATATTATATATATGTATATATGAAAAATATATAAAAAATGCATGTGGGTACTCAAATGAAAGGTCTCGATGAGTGTAACGTCAAGATGAGCTTATATCTTTAAAAATGCCAATAATTAAGAAATAACCATGCATCATGTGAACTATTGACATTTTTAAAGATATAAGCTCATTCCGATGTTACACTCATCAAGACCTTTCATTTGAGTACCCACATCAATTTTTTATATATTTTATATATTTATATATTTCATAATTACTATATATATAAAAATATATAAAAATTGCCATGTGGGTACTCAAATGAAAGGTCCCGATGAGCGTGACATCAAAATGAGTTTATATCTTAAAAAAT